CCATTGATTTGAGTCCCAGTTTCCTTCCCATCACTATTGGTTCCCTGTGCATTTTCCTTCATTTCACTTAGTGTAGCCTTCATTTTTTCATCTAATTTGTGACCAAATTCAACCAATTCTGTGAGCATCCTGATCACCAGTGCTTTGAACTGTGCATATGATAGGTTGGCTATCTCTTAGTCACTTAGTTGTATTTGTTCTGGTGCTTTGATCTGTTCTTCCATTCAGGCCATTTATTTTATTTTATTTTATTTTATTTTATTTTTGTCTCATAGTGCCTGTTATGCATGAGGGGTGGAGCCGTAGGTGTTCACCAGGGCAGCGCAACCCAGTCGCTGGGTTGTGATGCTGTATGGGGGCGGGGTTCGAGAGGAAGCAATGGTGTTTGCTCCGCTCTCTGTCAGATTTCGGTCCCTTCTGCCGCTTCCCCCAAGCAAACTGGCCCTTTCTGGTGCTGATTCCCATGTGGGTGGGCTTGTGCACATTCTAGGACCCTGTGGGTCTTTCCAAAGAACTCTCCTGCGAGGCTGGAAGTCTCTCCCTGGGCCTCAATCTCCACAGGTGTTTTCAATCAATGTTTTGAGGCTTAATTCCTGGTGCCTGGACCCTGGGTTGCGATGTCTGCCTTGCTCCCTAGTTTCGCCTGGTTTATCGGTGTAGATGAATATGTCTGTTTTAACTCCTTGGTTGTTGGACTTCCATACAGTTCAATTTTCTGTCAGTTCTGTTTGTTATTTTTTTTCTAAATTGTTATTGTCCTTATTTTGGTTGTGTGATGAGGCACAGTGTGTCTATCTATGCCTCCATCTTGGCCAGAAGTCCTCTTTTTTCCTGATGAGTCTGGTTAAAGGTTTGTCAATCTTGTTTATCTTTTCAAAGAACCAGTTCTTAGATTCATTGATCCTTTTGTCATTTTTTAAAGGATTTTATTTATTAACTTTCAGAGGGGGGAAGGGAGAGAGAAAGAGAGGGAGAGAAACATCAGTGTGTGGTTGCCTCTCACACACTCCACAGTGGGGACCTGGCTTGCAACCCAGGCATGTGCCCTAACTGGGAATTGAACCAGTGACCCCTTGGTTCACAGGCTGGCACTCAGTCAACTGAGCCAAACCAACCAGGGCCCTTTTTGTCATTTTTTAGACTTCATTTATTTAGATTTAAGACTTCATTTATTTACATTTTTTAAAGATTCCATGTATTTCTGTTCTAATTGGAATTGTTTCCTTCTTTCTACTCACATTGGGCTTTGTATGTTGTTCCTTTTCAAGTTCCTTTAAGTGTAAAGTTAGATTGTTTGTTTAAGCTTTTTTTTTTTTGAGATAGGCCTGTAATGCTATGAATTTCCCTCTTAGGATTGCTTTCTCTGTGTCCCACAGATTTTTTATTGTTGTGTTCTCATTTTCCTTTGTTTCTAGGTACCTTTTGATTTCTTCCTTGATCTCTTTGTTGATCCATTCTTGTTCAATAACATGCTATCTAGCTTCCAGGTCTTGTGTATTTTTCATCATTCTTTTTTTAATTTCATTTTTTAAAATTTATTTTTTAAAAATAAAAATACTTATTGCAGCAGATATATGGTTCTTTGTTTTTCTATCCATTCAGCTACCCCATGTCTTTTGTTTGCAGCATTTAAGCCATTAATATTTAAGGTGCTTATTGATTGATACATATTTATTTAGTGCCATTTTGTTGTTAGACTATTTTCCTGTTTTCTTCTTTCTTTTCTTCCAAAAGCTAGCCCTTTAACATTTGTTGTAGTACTAGTTTGGTGTTAGCAAACTCCTTTAGTTTTTTCTTCTCTGTGAAGCTCCTTATTTCTCCTTTGATTTTAAATGATATCTTTCCTGGGTAAAGTAGTCTTGGTTTTAGATTCTGGCTTTTCATCACCTTGAATATTTCATGCCACCCCCTCTGGCCTGAAATGATTCTGTTGAGAAATCAGATGACAGTCTAATTGGTGTTGCCTTGTAGGTAACTACCTGCTTTTCTCTTGCTGCTTTCAGCACTCTCTCCTTGTTAAGCCTTGTCACTTTAATTATGATGTGTCTTGGTGTAGGCTTCTTTTGGTCCATCTTGTTTGGGATGCACTTTCTGGACTTGTATATCTTTTTCCTTCACCAAATTGGGGAAGTGTTCAGTCATTATTTCTTTTTTTTTATTTTTAAAGATTTTATGTATTTATTTTTAGAGAGAGGGGAAAGGAGGGAGAGTGAGCAATATTGATGTGTGAGAGACATATTGATTTTTTCCCTCTCACATATCCCCACCTGAGGACCTGGCCCACAATCCAGGCATGTGCCCTGACTAGAAATCGAAGCAGCAACCCTCCAGTTCACAGGCTGGCACTCAGTCCACTGAGCCACACCAGCCAGGGCTCAGTCATTATTCAAATAGGTTCTCAATCCCTTGCTCATTCTCTTCTCCTTCTGGTATTCCCAATATGTGGATGTTATGCTTTGTGTTGATCCAAAGCTTTCTTAAGCTTGCCTCATTTTTAAACTTTTTTCTTTTTGCTGCTCTGATTGGGTGTTTTTTTCTATCTTTACTGACTCAAATCCTCTGCTTCACCTAACCTACTATTTATTCCTTCCACTATATTATTTATTTCAGATATTGCTTTATTTCCAATTGGTCCTTTTTAATGGTTTCTGTGTCCTTTTTCATGCTGTTGATTATCCTTATAATCATTACCCTAAACTCTCTGATAAATTGTTTACCTCCACTTCATCTAGTTCTTCTGGAGAATTCTCTTGTTCTTTCATTTGGGGCCTGCTTGTTTTCCCATTTTGGCTGCCTCTTTGTGTTTGTTTCCATGTAATGGGTAGATCTGCAAGACTCTGGTGCAGGTCTAAGTCAAACCCTGCCTGTGACTGGCTCTGAGCAAGGTGCTGGGAGCACATCTTATGGCTCCCTCTACTGGGCCTGTTTGTGTGCAGAAAGAACCAGGCTGTGCAAAAAGACCGACTTGGATTGGCACCAGGCTTGGGGGGATCTGCCTCTGCAGGCAGACTTTCTGTAGGGTTAATCAGTGAATATCTTCCAGCTGTACTCTTCAGCAGTGGGGCTTAAGCACCACGAGGTGGGGCAGAGTAATCCCTGTAGGTGAGGCTGTTGCTTCCAGTCAGGCTGATGCCATTCGGAGAGGAGTGCTCTGCTTTAGGGAGATGGCTCCTGCAGTATGGGGAATGACTCAGCACAGGTATCCTGGTGGCTGTTCCTTTACTTCTCTCCCTAGAACCACCAGCCCCAGACTCTCCTCAAGCGTCTAGTCCACTCTGCCCTCTGCCGGAGCACATGGTAAGTGGCTGCAAATGGAATTTTGTGCATTGGCCCTTTAAGAGCTCTCTGTGTCTCCTGTTATCTCTCCCTGTTGGACAGAAACCCTGCTGCTTTTCACAGCCATGTTATTATGGTTCCTTTCCTGGTTCTGGTGCTGTAGGCTTAGGAGCTCAGCTAGAGCTCCATACTTCTCAGGGGGAAGCCCCCAGCCACTGAAATAACCTTCTAGCACTTCAGCTGCTGTCTGTGGGAGCCAGACAGTCCTCTCATGCCTCCTCTGCAGTTCTTACCAGTCTCATTGTATTGAAGTAGCTTCTGTCTGCCTGTGGTTTCTCTCTAGTTGGTGTTCTGTTTGTTATTCAGGATGATTTTTCTATAATTTAGTTGTAAATCCAGTTTGGTCCTGGGAGAGTTAGTGTAGCTTCCACTTACTTCTCTGCCATCTTTGGGGGATCCCAAATAAAAATTTTCTCAAAATGCTAAGTACCATATACTTCTAGAGGAGGAAGAGTATTTATGACCTGGGAGAGACACACGGGTGAGGGTTTTCAGGTGCTAGCAATATGCCATTTCTTACCTGGGTTGTGGTTGCACAAATGGCTCCTTTACATTCATTTTAGTGTGTTTCTTGTTCTTTTCTGTATGTTTTTTCACACTTAAGTTGCCCATCCCCTTTCTTTTTTACTAATTGCAAATCTCCAAGACTGGGGAGCACTTGTGTATGAAATGCTTCATCAGTGCTTAGTTCAAGTGCTGTAGAAAGGACTCGAAGTAGCCCCGGGGGAGGCCCTCATGAGGAAGAGAGGCTGGAGCTGGGTCTCTGATTAGTGCCTGTTACAGGTTCTCTTAATAATGGTTGTCTGACAACCAGAGGGTGGGAAGGCAGAGTCACTGCAGAGGTGTCAGATGGCCAGGGGGCAGGCTCGTGGAGGCCAGGCATCAGCAGCGAAGCTAATGGGACAGGGGTGACTGTGTGGTGACCCCAGCGTGCCTGGTTTAGGCATTTGGATCTAGTGCTGGAGACACTGAGGGTTACCGTGCAGCGCAGTGAACATTAAAAACGCCCTCGTGTTTCAGGGAGATGAGTCTGGGTGTAGAGGGTAGAGAGGAGCGCCAATAGGGAAACCAGTCCTTCGGGCACAGTGCACTGGGGATGCTGGGAGTAAAGCTGCAGAGAGACGGCACTGGGACATGTGAGCAAGCAGGCAGAGGGAACTGAGTGACTGTCAAATATTAGGTCCCCCGAAAAGGGGGGATGCCCACAGTGCCCACCTCTCCGCCCCCAGTTACCCCTTCAGCTCCACGGTGTCCACAGTCTGTGCCAGAGAACATTGGGCCCTTCAACTGAACCCTGGGCTCAAGGAAGCAGGCCTCCCCAGGGGACAAAGGAGTCTGCTTCTTCTGTGAAACACGGCACACAGCTCCTGTTTTGTAGAAAAGCATGGCACCTAGACCTGTGCGTGAAAATGTGCCAGCCGGCAAGGAAATGGCAAAGGGCTATTAGGCACCTCCCCAGTCCAGGGGCCGCTCACAAATGAGGGAGCGCTGCCTGCGGGGCCACCAGCTTGAAGACGGAGCCACCGCCTTGAGCAGTGTCGGAATGAGAGGTGACGTCAGCCAGGAGTGCTCCGGGCCATTCTGGGCGTCGCTCTCTTAGGGAACTGCCAGCAACCACGCTGACACCATGAAGGGGACCTCTCAGGAGGCAGGGCAAGCACAAATGTAGGCAAGACAGACAGGAAACTTTATTCTTATTTTTCTTTATAAAATAGAGATACAGGAGGAATTTTACAATTCGGTGTGATTAGACGTGATTTGTAATTTTTAACATTCTTTTTAAACGAATGGCAACAGAAACAGAGAACTGGTATAAATGATAAAATTTACTAGAGCAAAGAGAAACTACCATCCTGATCAAAACACGTGCCACAGCGAATCTTCCTCAGGAAAACTTTCTAAGATTTCTAAGCTAGACTTCCCTAGAAAGGGCATGTGGGAAGCCTTGAATCGCAAATATTTAAACTGTTTTTCTAACCACTAAATGCCTTGACCAACTTGTTCATCAAATGCTTCCGGAGTTGAGGAACAAATGACCGAGTGCCCTGAAAACGATCCTATTTTTCCAGCTGTCAATTACTAATGTCTCAAGAAAACAAAGTATTCTCTAAGCACAGAAGCTCTTGAAAAACTTCTATGACCTTTCCTGGCTCAGTACGTCACTGAAATGTTCAAATGTTTGCACTGCTCACACACAGATGCGAGCAGCATCCTGTGTGTGTGTGTGTGTGTGTGTGTGTGTGTGTGTGTGAGAGAGAGAGAGAGAGAGAGAGAGTCTTCATCAGTCTTCTCAGCTGATGAAGACTGGAAAACCCCTAAGTGGTGTCCCATGTATGTGACTTAAATATATAGTTTCTATATCTTTAATTAATATAAGTAAAAAGGTAAACTTTAGAACAGCACAGAAATACAAATGTATTATTTTACAAAATATATCCAACCCCTTATACGTGCACGATATTTGTAATTCTGGTGTCACCATACAAGGAAGCTAGTTTCTTCTCCTTCATATATGAAAGCAGGAAGTCATGAGTATAAGGGTGTTTACGTGAAAAGAACAAAGATTCACATTCCTCTTCTTTGTCCTTGATGGAATGTTGGAAATTATGAAAAGACAATTCCCATGTTCTGAATTGAAGTTCAAAGACTTGGAATGGACAAACTCCTAGTGGCACATTGCACTACATGGAATAACCGTCATGTTCTAGGAACCAGGGCTGTGCTCTCTGTCATGAAAGGCTCCCCCAGGATGGGTGGGAGGCCCCGAACACCGAGACGCCTCTGGTCAGAGAATCAGATCATGAAAACGTGGCTGCCGTTTCGAGCCCCAACCAAATCCCTGATAAAATAATAGGCCACTCAGCGGCCACCATCAAACAGGCTGCTTTCCAAACTGCTGAAGCAGATGCGAGTTCTTGAGACTCGGGATCTGCCCTCTGGCTTCTGTCGGAGCCAAAGGCTCCTGAACACAGCCCCGACCCAGGGGGAGGCAGGGGAGGCGGGGGTGGGGTGGGGTAGGGGATGGGACCACTGACTTCAGCTTCCACAAAACACGAAAGAAAAACAAAACCTGCCTGCCAGGAAGGTAACGTTCCAGCTTCACCTAAACTTGTAACTGGCAGGTTCAAATGAGAACTTCTTTGTAACAGGATCCTGACAACCTTTATCATATTAAATGCTCCTTGTTCCTCAGCCTGGCAATGACTTCTCATTTCTTCGTTCTTCCTAATTTGCTTTCTCCTTGCCTTTCCAAACGACAAAGGAAATAAATCATTCCCGCCCCCACCCCGCCCCAAATTCCATGCTAACCTCGAACTCCAAAAGCAAGAGAAGGCTGCAGAAACCACATCAGACGGCCTGCTTCGCTGCCCGAGGATGTTGCCACCCTGTTCCTTAAAGCAAAAAGGAGTGGGTCGTTTGAAAGCTTGGGGGCTCTTAAGCCACTAATGGTTCGGGGACAGACCATTCACACTGATCACATGAGCCCAACGCAGAACAACTCTGAAGCCGTACTCTGACATGCAGTGTTTTCCACGCACCCAGTCCAAGCCACGGTAGCTTTAGCTCCTTCTTTCCTGACCTACGTCACTGTCGTTACGGGGCCTCCTAGGAATGAATGACAGCATGCCAGGGACTTTTTCCAAACACTACTTTGCAGTTGCCTGGACAAACAGTGAGGCCACCACCAAGTGACAGATGTGGCCTGTGTCCTTGGCGCGCCTTGCAAAGGCCTGGCCAAGCCTCGTTCCTCAGGCCTGCTTACAAACCCTGGGCTCTCAGGGACTAAAGTCCCGCAGCCAGCTTCGCCAACCCCGTGCACACCTTTACCGGAGACGGGTCCGAAGTTGGCCTGGCGTTGGCCCGTGTGGCTCACGGAGCCAGTGCCTGCAGGGGCCTGCTGCTGCCGGTGTGGCCCCCCAGCGGGAGCCTGGGACCCGAGCCTGATGCACACGGGCCCCCAGGTCCCGGGGCCTGGCTGCCTACCTTCCACTGGGCCAGCTCTCCCGGGATCCCGCCACCAATGTCACAGCCTCTGCTCCCTGAAACCCCACGCCTCCAGGAACCCGAAGGCAAGAGAGTCAGGGTCCTCGGACCATTCTTACGACAGAAGTTCCATCTTCTGAAATATTCATTTCATGCTGAAAGCTAGTGAAGTGACTACTTTGAACTCTTAACGGGAAATACTGATAGAAAGTTCGTTGCCGGTGGGCATTAGAATGGGGAACACGTGGTACCAAAGCACACGTAGGTTCCACGTGGCGTCTGCGTCTCAGTGGGATTCCAAAGTGCAGATGGGGCTGCTTCTGAGGGGAGAGAGCTGGGGGTCGACCCGTCACACAAGCCACACCAGACCCAGGACGCCCCAGCGGCCGCCCGCCGGCCGGCCCCGCGCAGTACTCCCTCGCGGCAGCTCTCCGGCAGCTGAGAGGTAACAAGTGCCTTTTCAGGGTGTGTTTGGTATTACTTCTCTTCAAGTAGTGTTTCCTGAGATGAACGTCCCTGGCAGAAGTGGAATCAATGGAGTTTTCACAATAAGCCTTTCAATGTGTCACTGAATTCTTTTTTTTTAAAAAATGAAACACTTTATATTTACTTATCTATTTTAAATGTAAAATTTTAATTTTTACTGAATCTGTTGGGGTGACATTGGCTAATAAAATTATGTAGGTTTCAGGTGTACAATTCTATAACACATCACCTGTGTATTGTATTGTGTGTTCACTACCCTGAATCACGTCTCCTTCCACCATCACGGGGGTTATTACGCTCAAATGGAAGAACGCTTTTAGATTTGCTGGACTTGTGTTGAAATGCAAACTGGAGGATTTAGGGATATTTAGATTATGTCCATATGACCATGTCACATGCCCTAAAAGGATGTATGTTACATAAACATTTCCTAAGGGATCAATCAAATGTAGCCTTAACCAGGACACTCATTTTCCTAATACTCTCTATAGCATATGTACGTCACACTCACCACGCGTGTGACTGAAAAGCGGTCTCTTCCCTGTAGGGACTCCCTGAGAACACCCTTCCCATGGCCCTCGAAAAGCAAACTCGAGCTGGGCCTGGCACATGTGAGGTCCGGCCGCGTCCAAGTCTCCAGCAGACGCACGTCAGAAGCTGTCTCACACGAACCCAGACATCCTCCACGAAACACGCCCGATGTCGTGGCTGTGGTTTCCCTGTCCTGCTGCATTCCTACGTGTGAGCTAAGGTGAGATTTCCATGTCATATTTACAGATCCTCTTGCCTTGCTTTTAAAAATACTTTTAGATGGGACTGAGCACAGGAGGGTTTTCTATCAGGGAAGTGGGGAAGCCACGGGCCTTGAAAAGTTCTCTGAAGGACAGAGAAGACTAAGAAAAACCCTGGAGGTCTGTACACACCCAACAGAAAACCACCTAAAAGAAGAAATAGAAGGCACAAACTCGGGGTTAAAAACGCTTGTCAAAGATTGCGACATGACTACAGCTGACACCTAGGCCTCTAAAGTCTTGCCCTAAATACTCGGTCACGTTCAGCCGCTGCAACACTGCGCACCCGTCACCTGCCATTCCTCCGCACACGCCCTTGAACAACGAGAAGGGAAGGAGAGCCGAAACACTTGATGCCCCAAAGCAAGTGCGTACGGCCGGGAGAGAAGACATTAAACAGAAAACAACACGCTGCTCCCTGACAACCACCACCTGTGACGTTCACATTTCCGGGAGGAAGGTAATCGATCGTTTGTGAAGTAGAAAACCACATAACACCACCACCAAAGAAAAATCATTATATAACTCTGCAAAATAACAACCGAGGGTTCGACTGTGCGCCCCCTTAACTTTATAAGCACGTTAGGCCCAACTTTAGAGAAATTCAAATACTAATAGAACAATTTAGCCCTAATAAATTACAGCAACCATCCACCTATTCAAACAGCAAAAGAACAAAATATACACAAGCGAAAATGTCCTTAAAGTAAACCAGCGCAGACGGTCTGAACTCGAAAGCCCACCGGAAGGGACGCTGCGTGTTTTAATGGGGCTCAGACCGAGACAGAGGCGGTCAGCGGAGGCTCCGACCGGGGCGGCCGCCCCTGCTGTGGCTGCGGTTGCATCTTTTCAGCGGCCTTGACATTCACCTGGACAGAGGGCCACCGTCCCTGTAAACAGTCCGACGTGTCGGTCCCCTGCTGTGGACCCGGGCCGAGGAGGAGGAGCGGTCTGGGAGCAGCACACAGACAGGGACACTCGGCCCTACGAAAGCAGCTGCGGCCTCTGCGTGCCCTGCTCAGGGCTTCCCGCCGGGCGGCTCGGGCAGGCTCTGGGCGGTGGGGCTGGTGAAGGTGGACAGCCACGACGACATGGCCGTCTTTGCGCTGGAGAGAGCTCCTCCCACGGACTGGCCTGGAAAAGAAGAAGGGGAGACCTAGAGGAAAGACGCCTTCACATTTGTTAAGAGACCATTGCTCAAGAATACATGTGAACTCACGGTAACACTTCAATGTCAACAGTTACTGAAATGCCATTTAAATTTCTAATTTCGAAACAATCCCTTTCCACAGGAAAGCCTAATAGGGAACGGAACCACTGCTGGGTGTAAGAGCCTGCTGGCTTGTGAGGTGCTTGGCACACTCTCTCGGTAGCACCCGCCCTGCTTGGCCAGGGGCTCTGGGCACTGGCTCCGCATCAGAACCGCCTGCAGAGCGGACCACGCCCTCCGTGCCCCCTGCGCTCTGCGTCCCAGCGGAGGACTGACAACCGCGCACGGGGAGGAGCGCCGGGCGGCTGCTCCACGGAAGTCTGCGCTCGTCGCCCAAAACGACGCTGCAGCGAGTGAAGAAGACGTCCAGAGCTCTTTCTGCCTCCGGTCTGTTTTGCTCTAAGGACACTGTCTCGGAAGCTGATGCTAAAGTGGAATTACTGCACTGCATCGCGTACTCCCACTAGTCCCGGAGAAGGGAGTAGGGAAGAGAATGGGCCTTACCCCACAGCCTCACCACCCTGGACGCGCCCGATCTCGTCTGATCTCAGAAGCTAACTAAGCAGGGCCGGGCCTGGTCAGTACTGGGATGGGAGAATGGACCTTAGAATTTATGTATCAGCTGCAGCACTATTAAAAATTCAGTGACAAATGGATCATAGTCCTCTGATGAAGTAGCATTCTTCTATTAAAAATAAGAATTGAAAATAAATCGAATGCATAATGCTGTGTGGAAGAAAATGCTAATATACCACGTCCCGTCCCCTTGTCACAGCGTGACCCTAGTGACGGGGCTGTGTGCTCCACGCCCGTCTCCCACGCCGGGTCTGCGGAGCGGTCCTCCCACCCCGCCCACCGCTCGGGGTTCAGAGGCTCGAGCTACCAGGGCCCCTGCTCGGAGATCACCGGGCTGGGGGCTCCTGTTTAATACGGTGAGTCAGCTTCTCTCAGCAGCTACGTAAAGAGATGGGCCCTATTTTTGCATGTTGATGAGACAAAGCATATGTAAATAACTGGTGAATCTGAGATAATTAGGAGTTCCCAGTAAACTGTTGTACCATTCCTTTAAGTTTGTACTTATATAAAAATTAAAAGGTATGCTCTGGCTGGTGTGGCTCAGTGGACTGAGTGCCGGCCTGGGAACCAAAAGGTCGCTGGTTTTAGTCACAGTCAGGCCACATGCCTGGGTTGAGAGCAAGGTCACCAGTAGGGGGCGTGCGAGAGGCAACCACACATATATGTTTCCCTCCCTCTCTCCCTTCCTTTCCCTCTCTCTAAAAAGAAATAAATAAAATCTTTAAAAACGCAAAATTAACATTAAATATAGAGAAAAATAGAGAAAAGAAGGAACAAAGAACTTTCTTAGGAATGGACATGAAGCAATCTGCAAAAACGTTACGTGAAAACGGATGGGCGCACAAGAGTGCGTACAGCACAGACCACCTGCCTGGCTTGGGGGGCAGGGGGTCCGGGCCTCGCTGCACGAGTCAGGGAGCACTCCCTCACCCACCACTTTTTGAAAGAGTTTATATAAAGTTAATTCAGTTTATTCAGATTTTCTCTTTGTTACTGAGTCGGTTTTGGCAACTGAGTCTTTCAAAGAATTTGTGTATTTTTTCTAGGTTGTCCAAAAGTTGGCAGAAAGTTATTTACAGCATTCCCTTATTGTCCTCTTAACTTCTGTAGTATCTCAGTCCTGCCCCCTCACCACCATTTACGAGCAACGGGAGTTGGGGGGAAACGCCGGCAAAGCTTGGACCCCGGCAGCAGAACAGCGAACTCTTCAGGAAAGTGTGTCACTCCCTGTCAGATGTGGCAATGTTTGCTCGGCTTTGATATTTATCTGGTGCCACGGCACTTTTCTTTAAGCAAGATAAAAATGGAAACAACCACCAGCAAGCAGGCCAACCTCTGTATTCGACTACGGGAATTATTTTGTATCATCACGTGATGCACAGATCTCTACGGCTTCACATTTCATCAGCGACGCAGGCGGACGGAGAGGAGACGGGCCGTGACCCCACCCGCCCCCGGCGGGAGCTGTGCCTTACCCACGGCTTTTCCTGTCTGCACGACGTTCCGGCTGGTGGTGACCATGACGCTGCCAATTTTTTTGCCACGCTCACTGTTTTGAACAGAACTGGGTGAAAGAAAGAAGTGTTAAATACAATTTAAAACAATTTCTCTCTCCCACACACACCACTCCAGAACCACCCCCAAATGGGAATTACTGAGAAAAGCAGCTAAATTATTCATTATTGGTTACATGGCAGTTCATTTGCTTGCTAACCTTTCAGCATGTGAACTTCAGGGAGTACCTAAGAGCATGCAGATGAACCAAACAGTGCTAAGGACACAAGGACGCACGGTCGCCGCCTCCCACCCCGACAGTCGGGCTTTGCCGCAGTGACTTGGGCGGGATAAAAACAGGGGGCGAATCCCGTTATTAGTTCACACCGTTCCCCCGGGAACAGCAGTGTTTTCGCTTTGACGCATACACACTGCTGAGCCGGAGACTGGCATGCACATGTTTGGTTGCTATTTGCAGCTCAAGTCTATCAAGGGGAGAAAAACAATTCCCAATTAGCAATGGAACACATGGCATGCATTCAGATGTAAGAATTTTCCTAGTATTTCCCCGAAATACTCACTGGGAGAATCTTAACTTCATGTCTGACACCGAGTACTGGCCTTGAAAGGGGTGGCTGTAAAACAGAGTTCGAGTTTACATGTGAGTGTTTTACCAGTGCAGCCGCAAAGCACAGGGGTCACATGGGGGTGTCTGCAGACCGTGCGAGGCGGCCTGGTGGGGTGGCGGTGCTGGGGACCCGTGTCTTCCGGGTCTCGATCACAGCTCTTTGCAGGCACTAGGGGGAGCCTTCCTGAGCTTATGTCCTCCCTGGTGAACTAGGTGTTTTTCCTGGGGTGGGTGCGAGTTGTTTGAGTGATATTGACTGATGTGGTTGGGGGTGGGGCCCAGGCATCAGCATTTTTTCACAAGCCCCCCAGGGCAGTCAGGGTTAGAGTCAGTGACTTGGGCCCGGGCATGGACTTCACCTTGATTCTGGCTGTCTTCTACACGTGTGCTGTTGGCCATACCAAGATTTGTAGACAGATCAGTGAAATCTGAACTTCCTTTTAGAAAAGCAACTCAAAGTGCAGGTCTTCAAAACAGACGAAAGGCAGAAAGTGTATACATAACATCAGGCACCTTCACCCAAGTCACACTGTACAAGGATTCCACGAACACCTATATCCTTATCGCACCCTCGGGCGGCTCCCTGTTGATGTCTGACCCAGGAAAAGACCCCCGTGAAACCTACAGATCATAAAAACGTCAAAATGCTACCGACGGCTTTTCAAATGACACATTTCTTTCTTGTCCATAGGACGCATACTGACACCCTCCCTTATCTTCTGGAGATTACTGGGTCATTCCTAATGTTCCTGGAAAAGCTGTGTTTGAAGGATGCACTACGCCTGCTCTTTTTTTTAAAAGATTTTATTTATTTATTTTTAGAGAGGGAAGGGAGGGAGAAAGAGAGAGAGAGAGAAACATCAATGTGCGGTTGCTGGAGGCCATGGCCTGCAACCCAGGCATGTGCCCTGACTGGGAATCAAACCTGCGACACTTTGGTTCGCAGCCCACGCTCAATCCACTGAGCTATGCCAGCCAGGGCGATATACCTGCTCTTATTCAGGGAAGGGAGAAGACTGCCTTCCCCCATCTTGCGGAGCGGGAGAAAGGGTTCCAGAGATCTCAGACCTCGCAAGTAGCTGGGGATATTTTCAAACTAGAGACCCTGACAATGGTTGAGGACTACCATTTCTTGTTTAGAATGTGGGGAAAATACGGAAACTCTGCTGATGACCGTATCTGCATAATTTCCCTGCACACATGTTTCAGGTCCTTCTTTAGCTTTCTCTTCAGTCTAAATAATCTCAATTTTTTTTTACACCCTTTAAAAAGTACTGTGTTAGGACCTTCGCAAACCTATTCAGGTTAAGCCTCTTACAGACTTGGAATAAAATCTGAGGGGCTGGTTCAGCTTAAAGGCGTGGCAGCAGACGTCTGACTGGATAACGACCTCAACGGGTCACCGGAGCCACGGGGTGGGGGGCTGTGGGGGAGGCAGCCCCAACCCCGTGCTGTGGGCCACCCCACGGGCCCCGCCCACCCGGCCGCAGTGAGGCCGCTGGCAGACAGACTCCCCTCTGTTTCCCTTCCTCACCCTCCAGGCTACAGAGCCCGTGGTTGGCGAGGGAGAACACTCTGAACCTCAGCCCTTTCATTTAATACCATTCATGTTTTTGCCTTTTAATTTTCTGTGTTTTCACCACATTCAAATGGCAACACAGGTTTTTGCTATGGCTCATCAGTAGGGTGACTAAATTTGCCAAAATTGGTGCGGAACCCGGCCATTTTTCTGATAGATGGTATCAAGTTTAACAGACACGCTCTCCCACACCCTGCTCCGCCACCTCCCCTTTCTGTGTGGGGGGGCGTCTCCTGCCCAGCAGGGCTGACACCGCGCCCCCGGGCCAGCAGGGCTAACCCCAGCTTCCCCATAATGTGGCCGTCAGGACAGAGTGGATTCGCGTTCAGTTCCCACCAAGAAGTCAAACGTTTAAAATACAAGGGAAAACATTCAGTGTGTGCCTGCACCATAAAAAACCACACATTTTAACTTCTAATTTAGAAAAAATAAGGCCCCAGCCTGTGCACACTGCATCAACTGATCTCCAGAGGCTCTGCTCTGTCCCCTTCACACAAGGACGGACCTATTTCAGGACGGCTCCCTCCCCGGCACGCTGAAGTGTCTCTGTGCATCAGCGTTCAGTATTGTGATGGGAATTAAATTTTGTTGAGTTCTAGATTCTGATGTGGTAGCTAGGCTTTACCTCGTAGGTATGAGTTCAAACATCAACTGTAGCTTATCGTACTACATGTTTCCAGTTTAGCCAGGGCTTATTTCCGCCTTGTCGGCCCATCTGCCTGGGTGCAGGCCCGGGGGAGGGGGAGAAGCCCGCTGTGTCCCCAGCACCCCCGCCTGAACCTCCCCCAGGGCCGGGAGAAACGTCCGGGCTCCCAAGGCTGCTTCATGCTTTCTGTGGGAGAAGTATGAACGGGGGAACCGTGTCCAGGTGCTTCTCTGTATTTGCGAGACTTATCACCTACTTCAGGAGGTTCCTGAAGACAGATATTCAGAGCGCCATCTAAGTCAGGGTGGGATTTTCTGTATCTCAGGGCGCGGGAGTGGATGAGGGATTTCGGGGTCTATCTGTTAGCCCTCTGAGAAAGTGCTTACTTCGGGTTGACCTCGGCCAGGGCCGGGCGCCTGTTGCTGTTCCAGACTCGGTAGTTGTGAGTGCTCTTCCACGCCGTCACGAAGGTCGTCCCATAGTCTGCGAGCATCTTCTCGTTATCTGCCAAGTGGGTGCATGAAAGGTGAGCTGGCCTGAAGCCATTGAGGGGTGCGGAGGGGAACGAACAACAAAAAAAGTAAAGGAACAGCTCCACCCTCTCTTTCCCTGTTTTTTGGGGAAGGGGGTCCACCAGATGTCAGGAAATGTGCCTCTAACCCCAAACACCCCGTTAAGAAGCTGTGTGGCCTCTGGCAAGTCGGTTTAATCACTCAGAACTTCTCCGTCCAAGGGAGTAACAGGGGGCTTTTCTCTAACGAAAGCGGACCTCTTACACAATTCAGAACGTGGCCGTGGTTACGGAACACGCGCGCGTGGCTGTGCGCCCCTCACCTAGCTGCAGCGTGGCGGCCAGCAGGGCGTGGATGTAGACCGCGAACTGGGCTCGGATCCACTCGTCCCCGCCCTCCCAGCCCGTGCCGTCCAGGAACACGTCCTCCCGGTTCTCCGTCACGTGCCGCACCAGGTAGTCCGCGAACCTGAGGTCGGCCGTGGTGGGGTGGAGCAGCTTCCTGAGTTCGGGGTCGTGGATCTGGATCAGAGCCTCTTCCACCTAGGGGGGCACGCGGGCACAGGTCATTCATGTGGCATTCCCGCGGACGCCCACGCCGCGCCGTAAAGAGCACCCGCTGGGGAGCTGCAGCTGGAAATAAAAGACACGGCGACAACAGCATCTCCAAAGGCGAGTCTGAGGGGATTTTACACTCACGGGTTTTTTTTTCTACATTTAAAAAGTACTTGGTTTCTAGTTTCAGAAAACATATGCACAAGTGCTTAATTTTGAATTATAAAAGTAATTCATGTTTACTGTACATATCTTGGAAAACATAGAAATGTGTCATATCATTTTATCATACAACCAGAAATGAAGACAATTAAGGAGAATTCCTACCATTTTTTCCTTTGATTGCACAGATACTCCAGAGTTTTTTGTTGTTGTTGTTGTTGTTTTAGTAATTTTTGAAATGCAAAGAGAAGTATATGTAACTTACAGGTCAGGTTTGAAGAATAATGAAACACCTACCCACGAATCTGCCAACCCACCTCAGAAGTAGACAGGGACCAATACTACTGCAGTAACTGTGGTCCTCGCCTCTGCATCCTTCTGCTTTGGAGGGTCTAATGTATTTTCCTTCCTCAAAACTGGGGTCATAATACCTGAAGCTTTGATTTTTAATTTGTATGTTACAAACATCTCCCCAGGAAGCAAGTTTTGGTACTTTCGAAAAACCTTAGTTAGGATGGCTTAAATTCCCTCCCCGCCCTCTTTGAAAATGACTTCAGCTGTAAAATTAAACAAATGATTTAAATTTCTTACATATCGATGATAAGATGTTAAATATTCATCTCTGGCTCCTTGCTCTTGATACCAGAAGCCTACCCGATAGGCTAGAAGGACGGCATTTGCATTATCCGAACAACAAGCACACTTTAATTCTGAGACTGTAGCAGGCCCAGCTGGCCTGGGCCAGGGTCCGGGCTCACCCACCACACTTGCTCTCCGACCTCGCTGTCCCCTCGCCCCCCTCGCCCCCGCAGGTGTCGAACGGGGACAGCCACAGTACTTACTGCACAGGTTGTCATGAGAGTTACTAGGTCAGTCCATATACCTATGGCGCCTAGGATGCCCGGCCCAGGGAGCAATTCCCAGCCCTACCAGTGCCGGGGCTCGGCCCTCACAGTTGCGGTTCACAAAGAAAACAGGGACCAGCGGGGTCCAGGACACGCCCTCGCGCGGAAACCTACTTCCACAATGGCGTCACTGAGGTGTTTCTGTTGTCGGAAGAGGATGTTAGTGGCTCCAGCAACAAATCCCCGAACGGTGACGTCAGAGAGGAGGTGGTGCTGCTGCAGGGCCATGTAAGGCAAGCACAGGTAGCCCTGCGGGTCACAGGAGTAACACAGCGTTAGGCGGACACCGGGACGGCCCCCTCTCCCGGCCTCATCGGAGAGCTGACCGCAGGAAAACAGGCTCCGGATTTCCTCCCACCTCCGCGCCACCCCGCGTGCCACTGATCTTGGGCTCGCCACCGGGATGTGCCCGGGGACCCTCAGGCCGGGTCTGCGTGAAGACCGCGCTAACCCGCCCCCTAGTCATCCACCTTGCCAAGGTAGCCTAGCCCACAGGTTGTCTGTCTCCTGGGATCACTCTGTTCTCCATTCGACCTAAAAGCTTCCATGGCGACTAACAAACTGGACTTTTTCTTTTAGGAGCTGAAATATTAAGCCTGTTGAAAGGAATGTAGTTTCATAGAAAGCTGTTAGTTCTTCCAGTGAAATTTTAAAACACACACATCTGCAAACCATCGCCAACATACTCTTAAGAGAATCACAAAGCACTGATAAGCATGTTTTATTGCCCTCTTGTTAAAAATTATGCAGAAATATTTCAAGATGTTTGCTCCTAAGTGTTTAAAGCAAAAACTGACGCTTGGCGGCAGTCGAGTATTTAATTAACTTCCCTTGGAATTGTGTTTGAAAACACCACTCCCCTGAGCATGACCGCTGACTTGCCAAACCACAGCTGCAGTGACGTGTAAAAAAAAGCAGTGAGTTTCCTGAGGACAAAGGTGTTAACACTGGAATGAACGTGGAGAACGTGGAATTTCTGCCAAAAGATTCTAAACCGGGGCGGATTTTCAACAGGTGGCACAGTGTGTACGTTGAGCCAGGAGGCCGGGCTTGCTGAACCCCGGATTTGTTTTCAATCTCAAGTTCTGTGACCACGTTATTTATTTTTTTTTTACTTCCCATCACTCTTCTAAAAACACTGAACTACTGTTATCCAGATGATGTCTTGTTTATATCACAGGATAAGACTCTCGGAGGCAAGCCTGGCTGGCATAGCTCAGTGGATTGAGTGCGGGCTGGGAACCAAAGCGTCGCAGGTTCGATTCCCAGTCAGGGCACATGCCTGGGTTGCAGACCATGGCCCCCAGGAACCGCACATTGATGTTTCTCTCTCTCGCTCCCTCCCTCCCTTCCCTCTCTAGAAATAAATAAAAAGAAAATCTTTGAAAAAAAAAAAAAGGACTCTCAGCGGCAGGAGCTAGCCCTTGTGCTACTTCCTGGTCTTCACTGCAGCTGGGATGCACCTTGTATGGAACAGGTGGCGGTGTAAATACCTAATACAGGAGAGAAGGCTTCCCGAGGTTGGAATATGGTTCCAGTCACTCGGTCTCCTCCTTATTCTGAACAATGTCTACCTCTACCTGGTAACACGCTAACTAATAGCAGCCAGTAGAAAGCCGTGTCTATGCATTACAGACACTCGGTACAACGCTTCTCACCCCACGCCCTCTTGTGACCAGAGGCTGAAAGGACGGACCCCTGCTCCTCCTCCAGAAGCAGAGCAGCTGGTTCAGGGCTTAGGGTTCACGTTTTACTTTCTGTGATAAGTATTTTAAAACAACAGGCTCCCCTCTCCCAACTACCTGTTTCTAAACATAAGTATTACAGTATTGAACGCACTTTCAAACAGAATACTCACTCTCCCAACCAGCACTGAGAAGCCTCGATAAAGCTGCGCTCAGACCTTGCCAATTATTACAGAAGATGCGCATTGCAGAACAGCAATCAAAGAATTTAATTACTCATAGTGTTACCTTCCTAAGTTATACTGGAAGAGAAAAAAGTATTGTCAACAATGGAATCTTGGCTGAGTCTATAAAATAATGAAAACTCAGACATATGTTTTAAAAAAGCAATAGTTCATTGCTTCTTGGCCCTTTCTACCTAAGCTCAAGTGTAAAAATCAATAGTTCAAAGTTTTTTAAGAGTATGAAAAAAATACATTCCTTAAAAATAATTTATTCGCACTCTTTGACCCGGCATTCTACGCCATGTAATTTATCCTGCAGATACACGTGCTCGTGTGTGAGATTTGCAAGCAGGTGCTGGTTGCATCACTGCTTATTATGGCAAAAGACTGGAATCGCAACTCGTCATGAACAGGGAACCAACTAAACAATCGTCCACACCGATGCTATCCCTGCAGCGATACGGAGTGATGACGTCCACCTCTGATGACCAGTGTGTAAAAAAGAATAAGGAGCTTAGAAGTAGGGACAGTCTGCCGCCACTGGTGCGCAAAGGGAGGGAAGATGCCCGTGCACTGATTCACGCACGCACCACCCCGGGAAGGGGACGGGAGATGCTGAGCGCTGAGGACGCCGGCTGCCCCTGGAGAAGGCCAACGGGCAGCAGGGGCCGATGGGATGACAGGCAGGCTTAGGACAGATGCTTTGGGACCATCTGACTGTTGAACCATGTAAAAATATTACACATAAAATTATTTAAAATAGTTCAAAATAGCTTAAAATTTTGACATCATTACTTAAAAAAAAAAAAAGATGATCCAATAAGCCTAAATCTCTTTTTTTTTTCTTTTCAATGTGTGGTTGCAGGGGGTCATGGCCTGCAACCCAGGCATGTACCCTGACTGGAAATTGAACCTGTGACACTTTGGTTCGCAGCCCACACTCAATCCACTGAGCTACGCCAGCCAGGAAGCCTAAATCTCTTAACGGTCTTTACCATACAGGGGCAGCCAGAACGTGGGTCCTTTCACACACAGCGGCCTCTCCATCCAAATGACTCCACGCCCAGTTTTCCCCTTTCCTGGGGCACGTCAGCTTCCATGTTTGGAGCGGTGGCGTGTAATGATGAAAAGAAAATTGAGAACACGCTTGCACACCCATGTTCATAGTAGCACTACTCAAATAGCCAAAGCCAAAGCAGCCCAAGTGTCCAGCGAAGGGTAAATGGATAAAGGAATGAGGTACATGCAAACATCGGGACCTGAAAAACAACAAGAAGAGGGCAGGCCTCTTCTCCGCTGACGTGACTCCCGTGGTGACCGGCACAGGGTGGGGCCGCCCCGGGGCAGACAGATACACCTAGGGAACACCAACGGGAAGTCCAGGGACAGATTCTCTTCCTCGACCACACACACAAGTTAATTCCAGGTAAGGCAACCAAAATGTGAAAGTCAAAATTATAAAGACAATTTAGGAGATTGCTTTTATGACTCTGAGGTAGGGGGAGGATTTCTTAGGCAAGACCCCAAAGTATCAACCATAAAGTAAGGAACTGACACACAGAAAAGGTGTCTAGAATACACGGAGTCCCACAAACTAGTGATGACGTGGGAGACAATCCAGAGCCTTGAACAAACACTGCACAGAGGGGAATCCAAATGGTTAACCAGAATAGAGAAAGACGGTCGCTCTCAGCTGTGCTTACTGAAGAAGATGCAAACTCAGAGCCGCAAGATACCATCGGGCTGTCATTAGGAGGTCTGACCATGGCCGGTGCTGGTGAGAAGGGGGAGTAGCAAGAACTCCTGCACACGGCTGTGGCAATGAACTTGTCACAGCCACGGGAGAAGGCCTGAAGGTCAGGAGCCTCCGGCCCCCGCTCCCCGCCCTCAGCACCCGTTCTTGCCGACACTTCCGCAGTCAGCTCGCAGGAGGAGCACCTTATAGAATCTGCTGTGGCACCTGCACAGGACGCCTAACCTCCAAGACTGACAGGACAGGCATCATCCTCGGGCAATTCCTAGTACCGGAGAGAAGCCTGGACTGGACCTAACGGTTTTTACTAGGGAGAAATTTGTGTCCATGTACTCCTATGCTCAGCCAGTCAGCTTACTCTTCTCTGCGAAACTCGCCATCCTACTTCAGCAATATTCTCCGGGCATCCAAGCTGCTCTGTGGCTATTTTTGAAATTACTTTTCGAGATGTTTCACTAGCCTCATTCCTTTTGTACAAGCCTTTAAAGATTTTCACGAGAAAAGGAGTCTGAAGACAAGTCATGATGAAGAATAATTTCATGTTCCAAAGTTACTGACATTAAAGAATCAGCATTTGTATTTAAAAAACGTGATTCAGCAACAAATTAGATTGTACTCAGTACATAACAAAACATAAAAGCAAAGTGAGAAAAGGGCTTCATTGACCACATAACGGTGGTGGTGAGCCCGTCACACACGCAGCGCTGGTGCAATGCGCACAACTGGGTCACTCCGCAAACAAGGGTTATGGACGGCACACAAAAGGTGCACTTACAATGCTCTGCTTAATTCGGCAACCTCGCAGAGAAACACCAAGTCCCTCCCCGGTTGCGCTCCCTCTTGAGATCTCCACAGCGACGGAAGTTAGAGGTGGGTGGGTGCGTGAAGCAGCAAAATAAGGGCACCTACACGTGAGTCCAGAAAACCCACAGTTCCTGGCTGCCGACCAGACCCGGTTTCCTCCCCAGGCCCCCAAATCCCAGTTTTAAGAAACTCTGCAGGCGTTCAACTGTGAAACCAATCAAGACAATTTCAGAGCCCGCCGAGAGGCCACGAGATGAACAAAGACAGCATTCTCCGTTAACTACCCCGCAGCGCTGGCTCGGGGCAAGTCCCTATCTGTAAAGCTGGATAAACCCAGAAGGGGTTTAGGGTCAGGGCGGCAGCGGAAGAAGCACACGTCCCAGTCTATGCTACGCATCCCCTCCTGCAGTCGTTCCTGGAAAGGTGTGTCTGTCTTTGCCCCGTAGACGGTAAGATCACGGACGCACGGACTGAGAACCTGGTTCGGTGCTGGGCACACAGGGCGCCGGTGAACGCCTGTCAGCTAAGGAAGGAAATGGCGTGTCTCTTTTCTGCTCCATTTTGAAAAATAATTCAAGCATGCCGATGAAATAGTTCATTCAGAACAAAAGGAAAAACCCAAAAAGTCCAAATGGGGACTCCAGAATCTTAATGTATTACTGACATTAAGAAATGATTTCCTGGGAAATAAGCTCTTGAATCAAAGATGGAATTTGATTTACTATCAAACTTTACTTTAAAAGTGAAGTATGTAACTTACTTTAAAAAAAGAAATAATACATTTAAAAAACTGCAAATACATTTTGGATGGTTTCTCATAAAAAGATGAAAAAGAATAGATTATGGGCAAGTTACCAAAACACAGTATTATAACTATGAGCTGCACTAATACATAGCCACTTAAGCAGTTTTTCCTTATGAAATCGCAACTTCTGGAACTACAGTATTTGCTATATAGTCATTCAGCATAAGCACGGCTGTCCAAGGTTTCCCAATTCATCTTGTTTTTCAAAAAGAAACCTGAGTGACTAAAAGCACACCCAGTCCAGTGATGGCTGACCTCATATTGCCTAACTGTCCAAATTCTCTCCCACCAAAACCGCTTGAATGACTTCCCTATAGTCTTACACTCCGGTCAGATGCCACAGCCGTACACATTCGGTTCCTAGCTCAGTTTTCAAGGAAAACCTTCAGATCTGAAAACGTGCCCACACCAACAGGAAACTCTGGAAGGGCCTGTCAGCTCTGCAAGGACGCCAGGCTCACCTTGGTGAAGATGGCCAGCGGCATGCCGTACTGGTCCTCCTCCAAACCCGAAATGAGCCCCGGCACCAGGACCGCCTGGCCCGTGTTGGCCTGCGGCTGCACGGTGATGGGAGGGCTGTCCGAGGGCGCCACCTCCTTTGGAAACGAGTTTGTCCGCTCCGACCCCACCTGCTCCCTTTCTCTCGAGGCGGGGTCCTCCAAGACGCTAGGGTCCAAGGTCTCCCAGTCACTTTCTGAGGACTCTGGAGACGGCCGAGAAGGAGGTCTCAGATACCGATGGCTGTCACAGAGCTCCTGTCCTTGGCTGCCGTCTCTCGCGGGGAACAAAGGCTCTTCAGTCTTGCTGGCGGCATCTCCTCTGTGGCTTCCTGTCACGACTTTCTTGACAGCTTCCGAGCTGGTATTGGAAACGTTAGAAGCAGACACGGAAACAAAATCGTCCGCGGGGTTGTTTTCTTGAAGCCCAGCATCCTCAGACATGCTCTTTCGGGGTCTGTACTGCGAACAGTCACTGAGACCATGTTCGATCATGCCTGCAACATAAACGGGTGGAGGCGGCTTGCTTTGTCATGAGGCGGGAGGAAGTAAGAGTGGTATGTTCTGTTCTAAATCGCAGAACTCTCCTATAAAAATTTTAAAGAAGCTATGCTTGCATATATCTCAATGCAAAATAGTGAAAATCTCAGACAAAACAAAAAAAACCTATTGCCAAAATGGAAATGTCACGCTAAAACAGAAATATTAACCCTAATGAGCTTATGTTTGAACACTCTTATAATGGAATGCCCCAGCACCTGTTAAACAGAAGCAGGAGGGCCCACTGCCCCCGCCTTACCTGGGAAGAGGGATAACACCGTCATGAGGGCTCCCACCAGCTTGTTCACTGGAGAAATATAAAAGAGAACCTGAAACGGTGTCAACGAAGATCTAATTAGAAAATCAGAGTCCACAAGGATACTTAAAAAAAAAAAAAAAAGGCGGGGGGGGGGGTTGGGGGAAGAGAAGGGAAAACTCTTCTTTCCAGAAGTAGAACAGCTAATAAGTACAGAATTAACGACGGAATTAGAAAACCACCATGTATCCATTTAATTCAGGTGAAAATCACCAGTGGACACTAAAACGATTATGAGATTGTTGGGCGGCAGGATGTTCTCACAGATTCAAATTTACCATCCCCCAGACGACCTATGAACTGCGCAGGGAAAACCAAGTACCTTAATGTGAGCAAATCTGGCAGCCACCGCCTCACCAAATGACTAAACTCACATCAACAACAACAACGGAACAGCTATGGGCTTCCTGATGCGACACCCTCAGGGCACACCACCACCTCGGTCCCCAGATTTAAAAAACAAACAACCAGTTATAGCACATTATTATGACATATGGGGACACTTAAACATGGACTTCAGTATTAAGTATCATTTATTGTATTGACATGAAAATTCTTAAATGTGAAAATGGTATTTTGGTCATGTAGGCATATACCCCTTATTCTTAAAGAAATATATCCTAAAGTATTCAGGGATAAAGCACCATGATTTCTACAAACTGCTTTAAAGTTATCATGAATGGGGGGAATTGAACACATGTCAAGAGGAAGTGACAAGTGTGAACTGGTAGATACAGAAGAAGGGTGTAAAAAAAAGTGTTCACCACCATATTCTATCAACTTTTCTGGAGGTTTGATAGTTTTCAGAATAAAAACTGAGATAAGAATTAATCTGAAACAAGATTCAGTTAGATACTGCACTAAATACTGTAATAATTAAATACTGTAATAATTAAATTAGCTGGAAAAAACCCCCAAAGATTTCCTTAGGCGAGTTTTTTCTCTTTTAAACAATGAAATCATTCGGTGACACTGAAGTGCTACTTCACAAAGCACAGCGCCCATAGCTGTGTTCTCCTCACGCACTGGTCTTGTTTAAGGGGTAGCTTGCAAGTAAGAAACCAAATGCTGCATTAAAGGATGTCCTCATCTTATTAAACCAATATAAAGAGTGTGCCTGTGACTTCCCACATTAGATAGTGCTGACTTGACCATAAACGCCACTGCATGTAACTAGGCTAGGTATTCTGCAAAACGTTTGTTTTAGATATGTATATCCATGTATATTCTGGGCTGCAAAGTACAATATTTTTTATAACGGGTTGCAATAAAAGTGTGAAACCTATAACTTGACAACAAAAAACTAAATGACCTCATTAAAAAACAGGCAAAGGATTTGACCAGACGCCTCTCCAGTAAACGGCTAACAAGCACGCGAACAGGTGCTCAGTCGCGCCCGTCATTAGGGAAGTGTGGGTCACAGCCAGGAGGGTCTGCCTCGCCCAGCAGGACGGTTGCCATCAAAAACCAGGACCTAACAAGTGTCGATGAAGATGGGGAGAAGGGGAACCTTTGCTCTGTTGGTAAGGTGGCAAGATGGCGCCCCGTCATGGAGAACAGCACAGTGGTTCCTCGGACCTAAAACAGAACTGCCATGTGACCCAGCAACTCTCCTGCCGGACACACACCCCCGAAGGACTGAAGGCAGGGCTGCGTGCCTTCACACGGCCCCCGAGAAGGTGGCATTTACACTTCTATGGTAGTGAGCAAGGACATGGCTTCGGCTCACCACAGTTTGGTGAGCAAAACAGTTAGTTTATACTTTATCATTCGTTTTAATTTTATATAGTATGTAAGAAATGTCAATAAATGTTAAATATCATTCCCTTCAAATCTCACCTTTTTCTCGAGAAGAATTAATTTAAACAGAATTAAGACCTGAACAAAAAAAGAAATACTATATTACAATATGCAAGCCTATTATTTATTTGCCTTTCCCCCTCCTCAAACATACCACATGTCATTTAATCAACGATATTAATTATGCTGCTTTAAAAACACATGGGAAATTGTGAACTTGTACTAAAAAATTAAGTATTATCTGTCTCTCCTATAACATGTCAGAATCACTTCCATCTCTAGCAAATTGGGCTTTTTGGAAGGAATTGTGCCATTTTTGCTTGAAATATTGCAAGCTCTTTAAAGAGCAGGAACTACTCCTTTATTTCCGAAGGTGTCCAGAGCATTCACGCAGCTGACACTCAGTAACTGCTCGTTAGATGAATGGCCGACGTGTGCATGCCCGACTCAGCACGTGCTTTCAGTACAAAAGATCAGAAGGAGCAAGGACAGATATTGCACTGGAAAATGTTTCCCTCTTAAGGCGACACATAAAATATTCTGCCAGGTTAAAACAGGTTTCTTCCCACTCTAATTTCATCATACCTGGAATTACAAAGACAACAGAAAAAGTATCCTATCCTGCATCGCAATAAATGGACGGCACTTGTATACATTTAGGAGTTTGTCCCATATGAGCTCTACCCATACTTTCGACTCTGTCGTTACAAAAGGTGTCTTTGAAGAGATAAAATGTGGTTACAGCACAGTGTGCATTTGACCATGAGGCACATGCAACCTGCCCAGTTAAATGAACACAACTTTAGTACATTGTAAATTAAATACGGTACCATACCTTGTGTCGAAAATGAAGCACAAGATCTCGAGGAGACAGACCTACAATGTTAACAAAAAAGCTCGTCTGTAACCACAGCCTACTACTTTTGTCAAAAAAAAAAAAAAAAAGCTTTTTTTCCCCTCAAAGGCAGATTAAAAAAAATAGTAACATGCAAATATTAAAATATTATGTAGTGTTTGATTAATGTACACATGTACTCAGGATCAATCAGATTATTATTAATGGCCAGGCACAGTGCTACAATGATGAAAATGCCCTAATTCTGGATTGTCCAATCCAGGGGCCACTGCACCCTTAAAATGTGGCAAGCGTAACCGACAAACTGGCTTTTGAGTTTTACTTGATTTTTATTAATTCTAATCCAGATGTCCATCGTCACACGCCACTAGTGGCCACTGCCGTGAACAGTGCAGCTCTAACTCGTTCTCCCAATTCTATAGGCATCTTACACATCACACCAGGGGAGAAGTTACGGAGCTTACACTACGGTGGGAGTCAACCCTTTAAACATGGCTTTCGGTCGCTACACTCCATAGGCTACTACCTCGGAATCACAGTCCTCTCTGACCCTTTGCCACAGGACAAGAGAAGGTAATTTAGAGAAAAGGAGTTTTGTAACCAGCTTGCATTAGACACAGGATTGCAGCAGGGAATTACCTGTTTGGCCACTTCGTGCTGAAATAGGAACTGACTGGGCCTAAATCACTGTATATGATCAACACTTTTCTTTTACTCACGAAAAGAAATTTACTGAGTACCTCAGACACTGAAGGGTATTACGGGCTGTCAAATAGTATAAATTAAACAAAACCCCCAACTTGACAAGTTTTTTTTAAGGTTTTTTAAGACTTTATTTATTTATTTTTAGAGAGGGAGGGGAGGGAGAAAGAGAGAGAGAGAGGAACATCAATGTGCGGTTGCTGGGGGCCGTGGCCTGCAACCCAGGCATGTGCCCTGACTGGGAATTGAACCTGAGATGCTTTGGTTCGCAGCCCGAGCTTAATCCACTGAGCTATGCCAGCCAGGGCAACAAGTTTTTAAATAGAAAAGAGCTAGGCTGGTCTCTCTCTTGCCCTGCCTCTGTCATGACAGGGGATGGGCCCAGTCTGCACTGATGTAAGGGAAAGAAAAAAACATTCACTGTTATTCTGAAAAGCAGAAATTTGCCTTATACAATGATAGTTGCAAATATTGGTACAAGTATGTTATAACCTTTGTCAATGTGACTACTGGCTAAGAAGATGTTTCAGGAAGCAGCAGCAGCAAACGCTGAAGAATCTAAACCCCACGTGGAAATGTAGTTCTCATTATGAAGTTTTACACGCAGCTGACTCCGCGTGCCAGACGAGAAGAAACGGGGGCGCCCCTTCTGCTGGTGGAGAATCTACCTACCAAGGTACACCTGGGAGCCCTCCAGCGACGTCCCTCCCAAGGAGCTGTTCATGTGCTCGTAGAGTTCCTGTAAAACACAGAGTCATTGCAGACACGCTGCTGGACTCCGGGCACCGAGTTAGAAACAGGGCGATCAGGAACAACCGGGTTCTTTAACTGTGGCCCTTTGTTTTCCCGGACCCTACATTTAGAAACCATCAGGGTCTCTCTGAAAAGTCCCCGGCCCAGGCACTGTACCCATCTTTTCCCCTGCATTTTAGACACTGATTCAGACACAGGGTAGGCGGGATTCCTGGGGTAAATCCTCGCCGCTTCCTCGCTAAACACCAGCTGTCCCACTCTCGCTAGAATCCACCAGAGGGACCCAGGTTCTCCCTATTCACAGCATTCTTGAGAGAAACGTTACCCATTCCAGCAAAACGGCCGAGGAGTTTGCTGGGCTTTGCAGCGCCGGTCAGGCCGCAGAGGCCCGATATGGAGGCATACTGAGCAGTGAATGGACAAGATGGGCAGGTTTGGGGAAGCAGGGCCATAGCCAGAGGGCCATTTCCTTTCATGAATAGAAGCATTTGTGCTAGTTACCGTCATTTGCATCATTTCCCAATAAAAGACAGTTTGGATAAATGTAGTAAGTATGAATTGCACACTTTGGGCAGATCCCTGACGTTTCCATGTTATTCTCAAAGGTGATGTCTTTCTTCACGTCGTCCGTGGCTACCCCTCACAACATTACTGCCAAGATTTACTTGGCACGTGAATCTGTCTTCAGCCAAACACGTCTATAGAGGGGTACACAGTTACCTTTAGAATGGAAATTTGGGAAAAATCCTTCTCTTCAAAATATGCGTGTGTGATGAGCTGAAGTTTTGCTTGAAGCAAGCCATAGAGAGGCTTAAAGAAAAAAGAGGAAATCGCCATTAGTTGGATAATAGTGAAAAACAAACACCCCCCAGCCTTTTCACTGAGAAAGAGCCCAGGGAGAGCTAGTGACTCTCAGCTTGAGTGCCCTCTCATTCTCAGTCACTCGGGCTTGCTCCTGGGCTGCGTTAAGTGTGGGCCTCCTCCCCCATCCCTCAGGGGCCGCCCTGGGCACGCCCCTGCTCCCACTTGCGTGCTAATATTATCCTATTATTATTACTAATATTACCTATCAGTAATAAAAGTGGAACCTCACAAATGATTTGATGAAGACAGCTATAAAAAATAAGAAGTGTTAAAAATTCCCTTTAAAAATAAAATTAAAATGGTGGCTAATACACTTGCATCCGATCACCATGTGCATTGCAGAAACAACGTAAAGCATTGTTCTAGTGCAACTGGTCATGCGGCTCTCCTTCCTCAAACGTTTATGCTTTTTAAAGAGCAAGTTAAGGCTACAGTTTTTTCATTATAAAGGAGCCATGCACTTTACTGATGACTTCTCATGTCATCAGTAAAATCTGAGTTTACTTATAGTATTTTGAATTTTGGTGAAATATTATTTATTGAAAGTCTTGACAACAAAACAGACACGGATGAAGGAAATATGCCCCCTCGCTCCCTCGGTCAAGGGCCAGCCTCCTTCCTCACAGCCCGGCCACTACGGGGTCTCCTTCTGGTCTGTCCCCGGGGCAGGGGAGAGAGAGGGGGAAACCGCTGCAGGAGCAGGAGAAGCAGGAGAAGGGGGGCCGCGAGAGCAGAGACGGGGCCCCTGATGAACTTCAACACGTCGCTCTTTCCCTGCGCCTCTCCTTATTCTAAGCGCGCGGGGTCCTCACGCAATCCTCTGCCGTGGAAGTTTAGCAAATGCACGAACGGCGAGCGATCTGGCCCCTTACCAGCTTGCTGAGCACACAGACGCTTTTCTGCACAGTCTCTCTGGTGACATCTGCTTGCCGTACTTTCAAAGCCTAGCACGGAGAGCCACTGTTAGAAACATTTCAGCGAAATACTCAAAAATCATTATTTTCCACACAAAGTTAGATAATATAACAACGAGACGGAAAACGCTGCTTGCACTTGGTTAAGTAAACTCAGGAAGCATTTACTGAGAATCTCAGGAAAGATCTGCAGAGTCGGCGTCGGTTGGCCAGGGCACCGCGTGGGGAACCTGGGCGGCAAAGAGGCCAGCACAGTGAGGGGCAACCTCCGTCACCAGGGGTGTACAGTCGGACAGAGAATGCCTGACGTGGAGGCCGCCACACTCCACCGTCGTCGGTTCTGGCTGTAAAATGGGCTGCCCTTTCAGGGACCCTCGTTTCTGGGCAGAAGCAGGTGGCTGAAGACATGACAAAAGCAGCCTGTGTCTCCAGCGATGGAGAACCGTCCCCCGTTTTGTTAAGGCAGCTGCCCTGTGCTGCCTGGAGTCTGCGTGCTGCAGCCCAGCTTTGGGCCCCCCTGGTTCTGAGGATGACGAGCTGAGATTTCTACTGTTCTCCAATAGCAGCAATGAGCCTCGAGTAGGCCGACCTCAGATAAGGATGGGAGGGAAGTAAGGGCGACTCTTCCCTCTCTAGTGCTGCCTGAAGTCTCCTTGGACTTGGATCTGACCCGAGGACCAGGGGCCTCAGTGTCTTCAACTGACTCAGGACTAGGGGTTATAAGTCAAGAGTGGAGCCTTTCCTCAACCTCTTTCCTCCCTCTCCACCTCATCTGGGTTCATCCATCAGGTTCTGCCTCGTTCCAAGGGGACTAGCCTTTCTCTTAGGCTCTGAGTCCTTCTCAGGTCTGGCTTGTCTGTCTGGTTATCAGCTGAGGCCAGAGACACCTGGAGAAAAAGGCAACTCCGATGTACGCTGGAGTGGTCAGGCCCGGGGCGAGGGGGACAGGCAGCATGAAATGCCAGTGACCGGCCGTGCAGCTGGAGTGGCTGTGGATGCCCAGCTTGGCAGAGCTCATTTTGCTAGAGCTCACACAGCCCGTAGGGGATAGAGGAGGTGAAAGGAACAGCTTTCCGAGAAAGGCCAGTCGGAGCTCACGTCATCTCGTACAAAGGCACAAAAGGCTAACAGTGTACGAGGAAATCAAAGGCAGAGAGCTACCATACGGAGAACTCCCACCGCAAAACCAACCAGCCAGCCAACCAGCCAACCAGCCAGCCAACCAACCAAACAAACACCAAACAACAAACAGTGCTGCTCAGAAGCCAACCAACCATAAAAGGGGAAGCTACCCACCTTGGTTTATTCAAATTCATTATTTAGAGCTATTATTGTAAGTCAGGCATTAAGCTGGCAGGTTGTTTAAGAATTATCAAAATCTCAGTTATAGATAATTAAGATAATTTGAAAGCAGTGGGAAGCTACTAGCAGTACTTTCCACTACTTCTCAAATGCTGTTTAAAACAACAACAAAAAACACCCATTACCACTCCATTTCTCTGTTATGCACCAGACACTAGAAATAGAAAGTTCAAGGACACCATGAAATTTAAATGCAGTATTTTGAAGACAAATGAGTAAGTTTGGTATCACTACTGGAAAACAGTGTGCAAAATATCACATCGTCATAGTCACCAATATCAACGTATAAAAACATTCACGTAAATAAATTCTTACTGTTGGGCGAACAGCTGCAAACTGTTCACAAAAATTTAAAACAGTATCACAGGCACCATGTTAAAAAAAAAGACTATGTATTTCCCCCAATTTTACATTTTAAGTGGTCAACACCGAAGAAAGAATTTTCAAGGGTTTTTTGTGGTTCATCACAACCAGCCTACCTTGGCTTCAATTTGCCGGTAGCAAGAGATACCATACACGGTGGCCCCGTTTCCATTTCTGGGCGGCAAGTGGAAAAACACAGTATCTAAGGGATACACAGAAAAAGGTAAATACTAAGGTGAATCACCCTGATTAATGAAGAACGACAGTTTTAGTTATTATAATGCAGTCACTAAAGACCAGAACGAACAAGCAACCCAGGACGCACTCACGTCGCAACCACCCCTTCCCTCGAATTCCTGTCCCGGCCTTGACAGTACACACCCACCACAAAAGCACAAAAGGCTGGACTGTAACAGGTCGAATTGAGACTACAGTCACCTCAGGAAATACTTTATCAACACAGGATTCTTCCAGATTAAAAGAAAATAGAGAATCAAAAAACCAAAAGCAACACATGAATCATGAACAGATCCAAGAAATTCTTGGACGGCCGGGGCGAGGTGAACATGGACTGGGTATCAGGTGGTATTACGGAATTACTGCCAAAAAAAAAAAAAATCTCTTGGCTGTGGTCAAGACATTGAAAGTCATCCCGGGGACGATCTTCTCTGGAGAAGCGTGCTGAAGTAGTGAGTGGAAGTGTCGTGCCAACTTTCAAATTGTACACGCAACGCCGTACACAAGCACAAACACAGAAAATACTGTGGAGTATTTGCTATACTATTCTTTCAACTTTTCTGTTTGTTTAAAAGTATCCATAATAAAAAAAAAATTAGGACAAGAGCATTTGAGAGGTTCAAATACTGTATTTAAATTTATTAACCTGCAGAGTAACATTTGCTTAATTTCACGGAAAATTATTAAATATCAGGAAAACAGGCGCTCTAGTGAAGTTCAACCTGGTGTCTCGGCACAGCCTCTGATACCATGAAGAAACGTAGTCCTCCATTAAGCCAGTTGAAGCACTCATCTGCGGGGCGGTGGGAGGCTCAGCACCAACCTCACAGCAGTGCTTTCCCTGAGGGTGTTGGCATGCTTGGCTCGCACGCAGGCAAACTTTAGGCAGAGCACTGTGACAGCCACGGCCCTGGGGCCCCTGCGTGGAGGGCAATGCCAGCTGTTTGCAGGAGGGTGCCGTAGTACTCCCCTAGCTGCTGCGCAGGCGGAGCCCCAGTCAGCCTGCAGCTGGCGCGGGTGCGCCCTGTAGTTTGCCTCTGGGAGGAGTCCGCAGGACAAACACAGGCAGTGCTACCAGCAGCCAATATTCTGATCTGGCTATTGGCTTCCTTTGGCAGGGTGCCCGGTAAGAGTGGCTAAGATCCACCAACCGTTACCAACGGAAGTCTGGCACTCTGCGGAGATCCTCCAAACAGGCACTTAAATATCTGATCAACAGGCACAATGAACCAAAGGCCCCTCGCTCATGCAGCACTTAGAATCGAAGATGTTCTGTCAGATTAGAAAACAGCCCGTATTGATCGCTCCACGGCCTGCGTACATACCTTCCTGGTAGTTGTGGGCGCCGTCCGGTAAGGCAAGGAAGGGCAAGTACTTCCACTCTTCAGGTACAGTGTGACTGTCGTGTCCCTCTCCTGGGATCAGCGGCGGGTAAGAGAACTCCACCTGAAACGGTGAGAACGTTGTTAGCCAAGAGATGCTTGATCCAAGGGAGAGTTGTATCTCAAAAGGCAAAAATGCTTTTAAACCCTGAAGGACAGTAGTCAGGGGAAGCCACGCTGGTGGATGTCAGCTGACGTTATTGGCAAACCTATGGGACAGAAGGGGAAACGAGAAAAGGAGTGAAAGGAAGAAAGATGTGTTCACCTTTCCCCTTTGCTGATTTAATGGGCACAAGAGAGCGGTGGGTAGTGGTGTTAGTGGCTGGATTGGAGATTCACAGCTGGGAGGAGGTGTCGTCAGACAGATGGTCCCTAGAGCCCTGAGGACATCGGCATCCTGTTGGACCGAGTGGAAGGGGTCCGGCAAAGGGGCCTGAGAAGCTGAGCCAGGATCTAGGTCTGCTTCCCATCAACTGGCTCCCTTGTTCCTAATATTTGGAGCTTCGAGTTTATGGTTTGGAGGGGTGGCTGGGGGTGGGGGCGTGAGGGGCATTAAGCCACATTTCAGGCTATTATTATTTTTCAAGATTCGAGAATTGATCGATGGGAGTTCAGTGAAGTCTCTCCAACACTGTGTCTTGTGGAAAGAACACAGTTTTCAGTGTATGCCCCCAGTTTCTGGTATCCCGCAGGCTTATTAGCATTTTCTCTCTGCTTCTGTTATTTCAATGAAATTTTTGGAGAGGAAGGCAGCACCAAGCACTGTTTAGCTATTTTAAAATTTACAATTGAGTATTTATTTATAAGGAAAGATTAATGGCATGTTTTACATAGAAAAGCAGGTCATAAAACTTGATTACAGCGTAATTGTTTTTGGAAAGAAGTTATGTATATTCATAAAAATGTCTGGAGTGCTCTCCGCCCCCTGGGTGCATGTCAGTGCCTCTCCCTTCCCCCACCTAGGCCCTTCCATTGCTTCTTCTGCCGTAAGCTCTTCTTCGTTTCACTGTCCCCGGCTGTAATAAACGTGCTCTCAAAATCAAAAAACAAAACAAAACAAAATTGGAAGAATATTCCCCAAGGTGTGAAGAGTAGATTATGCTGTTGGAATAGTGTAAAGATGAGTTCTAATTCTATCACAATTCTATTTTTTTAAGAAGCACAGTCTGGTAAAACCGGTTTATTTAAGAATTAAAACTTCTAACTATGTATACGAAACTACAAACAGAACAAAATTGGAACAGTGGTCCAAAATCAAGTAATAGCCCCGGCCAGGTAGCTCAGTTGGTTAGAGAGTTGTCTTGATGCGCCCAAGTTGCGGATTTGATCCCTGGTCAGGGCACATACAAGAACCAACCAATGAAGGCATAAATAAGTGGGACAGCAAATTGATGTTTCTCTGTCTGTCTCTCCTCCTTCCTCTCTCGCTCTAAAAAGCAATATAAAAGTCAAATAGTAATTCCAACATTTTATAAAATCACTTTGGAAAATAACTATTCCCTATGAACTTGAGTGTCTTTAAAAGTTCCAATCTATGAAAGAACCAAAAAGTTTAATTGATACACAATTTGATTATATTATTTTGCCAAGTCACACTAATCTGATAAATACAGTTCGTATATTCACTGCCACAAAGCAAAGAGGGAACAAACAAAACCCTGGAACACACGATCTGTACCTACGACAGAGCAGGTGCCCATAAATTATCTCACGTCCAAGAATCTAACTGCAGGTGAGGTTTTTAAAAAAGAAGAGCCCTGTGCTAAATGCTAAATTTTAAAAAAATTCAGGAGAAGAGCTGGAATGGATACATATCTCACAACTACTTTAGATGTCACGGTAGTACTTTCACTCACTTAGAATGTTCTCACTCAGTGTTAAGTGCATCTGTCGGCTAGAACCACCACCACTATAAATTAACCTGTTATCTGCACAAGAGTTCACCCCTACAAATTACCCCAATAAACGTGAAAGAACTGACCAAGTGGTAAAGGTATTACATGTTCATTTTAATTTATATGAAGGAGCTTTTCATCAAAATACCTGTGAAGGCCTTAAAGGTGCAAACCACGTAGGGAACAAGATGAAGGGACCCCTATCTGCACGCCTAGTTTGGGGTCTTCAGCACAGCCAAGCTAGAAGAGGGTTTTAGCCTGGTGGTCCATGTGGATCGACCCGACTCCATCATGGCATCACTACAGAGCATCTTCGTAACAGAAGGGTCCAGGAGGAGCGAGCCTGCTCCCCTGTGCAAAGTTATCACGCTTAGCCCCGCAGACTGCTGCTAAGGCGTTCCTTTAAATCGAGGTTTTACTTCGGCTCCCGTGAATCTAAAAACGGCACATTACAACCAAGTATGGGAATTTTCGCTGTGAACAATTGCAGTGCACAGAAAGAAGTGCTGATCGCCACCGTCCACAGCGTTTGGAACACTCGGGAGACCAGTCGAACAGAGCACCCTCCTGCAGCCTACAGTGACCTGAAGTCAGACTCAATTCAATAAGCCGTGCACCTGGAAGGAACATTTTACAATGGAGAAGAAGGGATGCCCTGACTGGTGTGGTTTAGTTGGCTGGGCCTCAGCCTGCAGAGCAAAAGGTCATTGGTTCGATTCTGGACAGGGCAAATGCCTGGGTTTAGGTTCAGTACCCAGTCTGGGAGAGAATGAGTAGCAACCCACTGATGTTCTCCCTCCCTTCCCCACTCTCTAAAAATAAACAAAATCTTTTTTAAAAAATGGAGAGTAAGGCCCTGGCTGGTGTGGCTCAGTGGATTGAGCACAGGCCTGGGAACCAAAGGGTCGCTGGTTCGATTCCCACTCAGGGCACATGCCTGGGTTGCGGGCCAGGCCCTCAGTAGAGGGGTGTGTGAAAGGCAACCACACATTGATATGTCTTTCTGCCTTCCCCTGTCTCCAAAAATAAATATATAAAATCTTTTTAAAAAATGGAGAATAAGGTGGCTGATGAATACACCCCGAGGGAAATCTTACATAATTAGATCTTCTGAAACACCTGATGTACTGATTTTGTCTCTGCACTAATTTTAGCTGAATCCTGTTAGGTTTAGCTAGAAACCCCCTTTACCCCTGATGTAGTAAATCTGCATTCACCGACCCCCCCCCCCCTTGACTATAAATTCCCACTTTTCCTTGTTGCATTCAGAATTGAGCCCAGCTCCCCACTGAGGTCTCCTCTTCCCTAATGCAATAGCGTTTCTGAATGAAATCTGGTTTGACCTCTTTAACGATGGCCCAGCTCTGGTTTTTCTGATAGCACCAAATTAGCTGTAACTATGCTTAAGTCACTTAGCCTTTCCGGGTTTCAGTTGACTCATCTGCAAATCTAAGAGAGTTGGAGTAGATGGTCTCTAAGGATCCCCGCTAGGTCACAAATCCTCAGGAAGAAACAAGGTACAGAGAAATGCAGCAACTGGACTTGCTGGAGGCCTGGGAGCCGTGAGGCCGGGCCATCATCCAGGTCTCCTGACTCCCGACACTGTGTTTATTTCACAAAACCAGTGACCTTTATAAACCTGAGTGCCAAAACCGAAAACCAGACAAATCCAGAGAAATGCCAGGGTACTCCTTCAGCCCAAAGTGCCTTTCTCATCTTACAACGTGTTCAGTTTAATTTCTGAGCAGCATGACATTTTATTTTCTAAAACAAATGAACTTTTCCTCTCTGGAAATAAAAATTATATTACTTTTGCCAATAAAACAGATATAAAACACAGGAATTAACCTTGACTTTAGATGACAGCAAAAATTAGAAGATTTTATTTGATCTCCTACCAACAGACAGTTCTCTCTTCAAAACAATTCGGTTCAGAAGGGAGCATCCACTTCTCACTTGACCCTAAAAGACTCCTAAAAGCCACACGGCTCCTCAGAATGAACACCCACGGTGCCAGCGCGATTCTAGGCCTGACTCCGGGGGCTGTTCTGCAGTGTGACCTCAGCAAGATCGTTTTACTTCGTCCAGGCTTCAGTTACTTCATCCCTATCCAAAGGAAGTTATAAGGTGACAATTAAGATCAAAGATGTGAAGTTTTAAAGTATTATAAATTTAATGACACTTTGTTTGCACGCCATGATACAAACTCAGATGTCTATTCTGTTACCTCCAAATACACAGACACATTTAAAAGCCTTAGAGTCTACCGAGGCTTAGAATTTTTTAAATACCACACTGAATAATGCTACTTCCTTCTTGGTATCTGCCAATGCCATTTCTACCTGGAGGACAAGGAAAAGCAAGCACGACCATCTTCTCACTCCCTTCATCCCTATTCCCTTGCCATCCTCTTAACTGAAATTTTGCCGATAGAAGCCTTCTAAAATGTTCCACTCCTATGAAACGCAAGAAATGAAATGCTACCTTACCTCGTGCTAGCAATCGGTATTTTCAACATTGGAAACACTTCATTTCCTGTTCACTAGCCCATTATGACATCATGGCCGGAATCCCAGTGTGGGTGCTCCTGAAATAATTCTGTTTCTATTTTCTTCCCTTGCCTTCAGTACACAGACTGCGAATGCGCCCCCTGTTCCCTTCAACCGTTTCGGTGAAGAAGCTGAAACATGACTTTGTACTTGCACATTTCTTTGCTCGGTAAATACACTTTTTCTTACCGCAGCTGAGCTAGAGAGGTCCATCTGTCACCGAAAGGCCAGATCTGGACGAGATCAAACAGCAATGGGAAGGGGGGGGGACCGATTCTAGGGCTTCCAAAGATAAACAAAGGAAGTTGATTTTCCCACCGCGGCGCACGTGCTTCCCCCAACCGCAGGTATCGGCGTGCGAGCCCACCGAGCTCCGGACCTTAAAAACGCAGTCTAAGCGCTGAATTTCTCTAAAGGCTTCCGTCACAGGTGGGCAGCCAGAGAGTCAATGGTGACAGATGGACGGGGGAGGATTCGATCCCTTCCTCCCACTCCACCAAAGAACCTGCGCGCCTACCGACCCCAACACACCGACACAGAGCTCCTCCTCTGCTAAATGCAGTTTTCAGGGCACAGAAGGGGGTGTGGGAGGGGCTGCAGGTGGAGGCGCGGGAGAGAGGAGCCGAATTCGGAGGCGAAGGGCCGAAGACGCTGTGCGGACAGGGCGGAGGGGATTGGGCGCTGCCGGCGGCAGGACCCCCTGACGACCGACCGGGGTCGGGATCGGGCCGCTTCCTCACCTGGCAGCCCTTCTTGTGATGAAAACCGACCACCACGATGTGCAGTACGGGCCCCCGCGGGGCGCCCTGGCAGCCCTGCCCGGCCTTCTCCATGGGCAGCCGCCGCGGGTCCGCACCACCACGACGTCAACCGCCAAGGGCGGCGGGCCGGGCGACCCGGCGGTCCCGGGGAGGACGGCGATCGGCGGACTTCAGGTGTCAACCAGGGCGCCGCATGAGAGCCGCGCGGGGGGCCTGGAGGAGGCCGAGGCTCCCGCAGCTCCGCCCCGCCCCCCGGGCCGCAGCCGCGCTCCGCTCCACCGCGTCGGCTGCTTCCGGGCTGTCACCTGACGCGACCGCCGCCGGGGAGGCGGGGCGGGGCCAGGGCCGGAGAGACCCGATGGGGCGGGGCCTAAGGGGCGGGAAGCGGCCCTAGAGGCGGGCACGGGGGCGGGGCCGGGCGGTGACTTCCCGCACACCTGTCCCCGCTCTCCTTTCCCCTACTTCCTCCTCCTGCTTCCTCTCTTCTTCCTTAAAATCTCCCACCCTCCCCTCTTCTTTCAACAGCTTTTCTTCTTTCCACACGTCTTTTCTGTATCCGATTCCTTCACTTCCTTTCCTTGGACTCTCTGGTCTAGGGGCTCCAGGCGCTTTACTCTTAAATATTGGATGACAAGGAGGCACAATGGTGCGACTCTGCCGCTGCATTCGGTATTTAAATGCTTCCCCAGCGTTTCCCTTTGGCTTCGTTCCGTGTCTTTATTTTTCTTTTTATTTCATTATTGTCTATAGGACTTTGGAAGCGACTTAAGGACCGAAGCAGAATATCCTTGACAATAAAGGAAGTTTGCATAGAGGGTATAAAATGATTATTCTAGTCCTATTATTTCAAAAAATTTTTTCCTATCTTTTTTCTAGGTTTAGTACGTCGGCACAAAATATATGGGATCTGTTGTCACCAGAGTTTTTAATTTCCTTGCCGTTGTACTTCAATACTTTCTTAAAGCATTGACTCTCATCCTATGTCAATTTAAAGTGAGTAATGGAAATACTAACAGATTTAACAAGTCCTATCCAGAGCGGTTTGGGGGTAAACAAAAGATAGGAGTCTGCTCCAAACAGAATTTGAGATCTCTGCAATAATTGGCTGTGAAATTTACCATCATAGTTACACATTCCTTAGTTTAAACAACTTTAGCAGTTGATATTTTCCACTCTTGGCCTTGACATTTAAGGACCTGCGCTCTAATCTAAGTATAGTGGCTAAAACCAGTAGGCTCCTTATGATCAAGTTTAGCTTCTATGATTCAGTAGAACTGGTTTAATGCTAATAAAAATACTGTAATTTTTTTTTCAAAATGTTGCTATCATTTCTTTTCTATGTCACAAAATTCTTGGGGTTGGCTCAGAACTGTGCAAAACTATATTATTTATTCCCTGTGTGCAGAATATGTTACTGTTTTCTTCCATCTGACTTGATATTCTCCACAATTGGAATAGCTAAAATTAAAGTCTAATTGAATATCTTTTCAAAAAGATGTAAGGGTGGGGCATTTGAGAACTCTATATCTACAGGGAATGACAATTGTTTAACTCAGTGATGGCGTCATAAACATCTGTGTCACTTTGCATCCCAGGGCTCCAAACTAAGATTGAATCATTTCTCCACAGCTATGGTATTGCTTAAATGTTTAAAAAGTATATCATTTAAAATATGCTATAAACAAAAAAGAATATATGCTATAAACAAAGAAGCTATGTTATGGAGGAACTTGGAAGAGAAAGTAAGCAAGGGAATTACCAGAATTTTTTCCATATCTCAATATACGTAATGGCCCATTTAACAATTTAGAATAACAACTTTTACATTACTTTTTATTAGTTGTGGTGATACAATAAATTCATTAGCAAGATGTCAATAAGGAAAATACGTATTGAGGAAGAAAACAAATTTATCCTCTTATAAAAAGTGTTGGAAGGAGATTATCAAGATTGGAAATAACAATTTGAAATAATGGAATACTTTCTGCATGTGATTTTGAAAAGAAACTTTTGCTTGTATTTTTATGATACTTATCTCCAGGGAGAAAGTGAGAAATGCTTTTCCGAACATGTTGAAGAGCCTCTTCTCGTTACAGATATTTTATGATGGATATAAATTCTGTTTTATGACTGCTCTGTAAAAGATAAAGAGAGTAAAACCATGGAGACATAGAATAAACTCTCACCCTGACTAGGGTGGCTCATTGGGTCGGGCATCTTTCCAGGAAGAGAAAGGTTGCTGGTTTGACTCCAGTCAGTGTGCGTGCAAGAAGCAACCAATCAATGTTTCTCCCTCTCCTTCTCCCTCTCGTCTCTCTCTTCCTTCCCCCTTCTCTAAAAATAAATAAAGTCTTAAAAAAATAAAATGAACTCTCCATCTGGAATTGGCCTGTTATTTCTTTTGTATCTTGTCTCAGGAAACAACAGGACAAAATAAAACTCCTCCCTTCCTGCAATCTCCATGAACTTTATTGTGTAAATGAATTTATCTCCTTTTTTCAGATTACAATAGTCCTCCCTTATCTGCAGGGGGTAGTTCTAAGATCCCCAGTGGATGCCTGAAGCCTTGGGTGGTATTGATCCCTTATGGATACTATGTTTTTTTTTTCCTTATTTAGTTGAGAACTTTCACTTTTTCACATAAAGGAAGCATTTCTGTGGCTTCTTTTTGGCATATCCAAATTGCCAGCATCACTACTCTTGCATTTTGGGGCCATTATTAAGTGAAAAGAAGGGTTATGTGAACACTGCGATACCACAATTGCCGAGCTGATCGCCAAGGGGGCTACTAAGAGTCTAAGGAGTGGGGAGCGAGTACACACAGCCTGAAGACGCTGGCCAAAGAGATGAATCACTTCCTCAGCAGATGAGAGGCATGACGGAGGATTTCATTACTCAGGACAGCATTCAATTTATAAGTTATGAGTTGTTTATGTCTGGAATTTTCCATTTCATATTTTCAGACCATGGTTGACAAGTGTAACTGAAAACACGGAAAGCAAACCCACAGATAAGCAATTACTACTGTATAAAGACACTTTATTCTTCATTTATAGCATTGAAACTTGCTAAATTTTCATTTTATTACTATAATGGAAAACAAAGTATTGACTTTCTTAAAGCATATTTTTATGAATTTTTAACTCTATCAAGTAACAACAGTGACTTGAATTTGGTCTTTGCTCTCATTAAGGTACGGTCAAAATAAAACAAGAATAGAAATGGAAAAGAAAAGGGTTTCACAGGCACAAATTTGGCATTGCTTTGTCTTTAGAATTTTATGAAGACCTAGGAGGATATTGATGAGTAGGACTGAAATAGTGAGAATGAATTTAAAGAACATTCATTAGACCATAAAGTACACCTGGAACTGTGTGCATTAAAAAAAAAGAAATTGCTGCCTTAATGTGTCTTATGTCTAGCTATAAAAATAAGACGAGTGTAAAACCAGCTAGCAATGCCAGCTTTTGTGGCACACACTCTAAGCCAAGCATCATGTTATGCACTCAGAAACGAGGATAAATAAGCAGTAATAGTTCACATTTAATAAATAAGCACTAATGTGCCAGTTCTCTACTAACCACTTTAAATGGATTATCTCACTTAGGCTTCACAACAAGAACAGGTGGACACTATTAATCTCATTTTTCCCCAATGGGTAAATTGAGACTTTCAAAGTTAAATAACTTGCCCAAGGCCAAGTAACTACAAGGAATAGTGGTGGAGATAAGATTTAAACCAAAATAATTTAATTTCAGAACCAGTGGATTTAATCACCTTACTACTTCCTAAATTCTTGTCTTTGAAGAACTCACAGGGTTTTTTTTTTTGGTGGGGGTGGCAGCCCCTTGGATAGATAATTATGAGATAATATGTTGAGAACATTCTGAGAGCTATTCACGTTCTTGCAGGATGAGAGCCCAGCAAGTCTGCAAGCCTCACAGAGATAGTCACTTCTGAGCAGGGCCTTGGAGGATGAACAGGATTTCTCAGGACTTGGGGTCAGAGCATCCTAAGTGCAATAAAGTAAAATCACTAAGAACTGGAGTTATTAAGGGAAACATCTGGGAATGGAAGGGTTTTATGCCAAACTTAGAGGAAGCATGTAAGATTGAAAGTGCAGCAGGAGGTGTCTGGAGGCAGACACGTGCCAACTGCACATGGTATTCGCTCAACTTCTGTCCCTTTTCTGCCTCGTCACCTCTTATTCATCCTCCGTGACTAGACTCCTGTCAATTCCTCTGAAGTTTCCCAAGCTACCTCTGTGGCCAGTAGGCAAAGTATTTGACCTTTCTGAGTATGAGGAACTTCATCCTAACACCTGTCTCAAAGGTGTCATAAAGATTAGGAATAAGTGTATTTGTAAGTTTCCTGGCACATAGTAAGTGCTTAATACTCATGAAATGGGGGAAGCGGGGGGGAAGCAAGCCAGGATTAGCTTGGGATTCTAAAGGAGGGTGAATCCTGCAGGTCTTTGAACTCAATGTCCCATCTTTAGGGGCTTCTGAACCTCCTCACTGACACTGCCCTTAAATCTTACCTACTTCTCTAGAAATCTTGAAGCTAAAAGAAGTTTTTTAGTCTATACATTAAATTTTATTTGCTTGTATATGTTAGTTGTCTTTCTGTCTCATACATCCTTAACCTCCTAGAAGGGCAGAAGACCTTGTAGTTCTGTTCTGTAGAATGTTTTATACTCAGCAAAATGCAAGACAAATAGTGTGCAACTAATTCATTTGTTCAATGAATAAATGATGGGTGCTTTGCAACCATTTGTTGTATAAATGAATAATGTTCTTGTTTAGACTCCAGCTTTAAGTTCCTAGGATACAAATATAAAATACACTAAGGCAGAAATATGTTTGCTTTCTATTCAAAACAGAAGTGCAAAAGCATTAAGGTTTCCTAAGCGTGATGACATTAACACAGAGTGACATCTGGTAGTTGCCTGTTAGACAATGTGTTTATGAAATAGTGAATGAAAGAAGCCTTTAAAAATAGACTCCTCGATATAACAAGGTCGAGAACAATGGGTTAAATACAATAGGAAAAATAAAAAGAAACCATGTAAATTCCCATTCTCGACAAGTTTACAAAAATTGCTGGCTGTGGGTTTCCTTAATGAGCCCTCGATGAATTTATTCAGAAGGTAAGATATTTTTAACGTTTCTCGGAAACTTCAAGGGGAGCGTGGATAACTGTCGAGACCGCAGAATGGTCAGTGGACAGAAATATTTCCCGGGTCTCGCTGACTGTGAATTGAAGGGACTGGGCGCGACCGAGCAGGGCTAGCGCGATCGCACGCTCGGCCTTAGATTAGCTGAGCCTGCCCCGACCGCGGCGGGAAAAAGCGGAAGCGCGCTCATTCAAACTCGCCGCCCGACGTCGATGGACGCAGACCACTTCCGGCGTCGCTATGGCGGCTAACGCTACCACTAACCCGTCGCAGCTGCTGCCTCTAGGTAATGCTTGTCCTGTGGGAAACCGGGGTGAGGAGGTGAAGCTGGGGCTTGGGGGCCCAGGGGCTGTGGGCTGAGGCAGCCCTGGCCGAGCGTTAGGAAAGTGCGTGGGACCAACTGCTTTCTCCGTCGGCCGCTTGTCTCTGGCCCCAGGCCCCCGCGTTTCCCCAGCGTGGTAGAGGGCCTTTGCGTAGGGACTTGGTGACTCCCCGAACCAAACCGCCCCGGAAAAGGCCTACATTTGGTGAATGCGTCGCCATCCTTTTTTTGTTGCGAGCAGTCCTATTCTTCAGCTTGACGTTTAAGCTCCCAGGGTAGCCGCCCCCCCCCCCCCCACGTCTTGTCCCATAGCTGGCCGGTTGTTGAGACAAGCACCAGGGTCTGGAGTGAGCCTTCAGAGGGGATTCTGGAAACTAGCTTTCTTTGTCATTCATTGATTCAACAAGCAGTTACCGAGCATCTGCGCACCACCTGGCTGGGCACGATTCGACAACTTTCAATCACGGCCTTTGCGTTCAAATAGCACACAAATCAGGGGAGTGAATAGGTCACTGGATACATAAACATCCCACCAAACCGCGCCAGGCCCGCTCCATAAGGGTGTTAGCTGCGGAGTACCGAGGATAGACTTCTTAGGGTGGCAAGGAGGACTCGCGGGTGAAGACAGGCCTCACCCTAGTATTTATAGCTGAAGAGTGATTCAGTTATTCGACAGGGTTGTGATTGAAGTTTTTTTCCTTCATTTGACAAACTTTAAAACATTTGTTTTTCAATGACAAGCTCATTTTGAATACGCAGCAGGCTCTGTCCATTGGGGATACAGTGGTAAGCGGAAACAACCAGTTTCTGCTTTCGTGGAGCTGGGAGTCTGGGGTGGGGGCGGTTCATGTGTTAATTACACAATCTAATATAAAACCACAACCCTGACAAATTGCTACAAAGGAGAGGTGAGTGGAGAACAAGGAACACGTTTCTGTTAATATAGTGGTTGAACAGAGATGTGTAGTATAAAATCTAGTTCTTGGATGAATACTTTTCCTGGTTTATCTTTCATCGTACGCGAGTAATAAGTGCCAATAGGCATGCAAATACTTGGCGAAGTAATGAATTGGTAAAATAATCGTTTCCTTCTTCCTTTTAAAAATACATAGAGCTTGTGGACAAGTGTATAGGATCAAGAATTCACATCGTGATGAAGAGTGATAAGGAAATTGTTGGCACGCTTCTCGGATTTGACGACTTTGTCAGTATCCTTTTAACATGCGGTGGTGGTAGGGGTTTTTCTTTGGTATTTAAGAACGGAAGTAAGAACTACAGACGGTCTACTTACTGATAATTATAATAAAAAGCAACGTAATCTCAGGGAAGTTGTGATACTATTCTAAGTGGATCTGTAATTTAACAAAGGTAAAGTTCCTACAAGTCACAAGCTTTTTGAATTGGAGCTATTGTGTGAAATGCTGCAGTTGAAACTGAACAAAGGCAGAAGGCCAGAGTAAATTCAACCTGATGTATTTATTTCCTTAACACCAATTTCAGACATGGTCCTGGAAGATGTCACCGAGTTGTGAGTAGTGTTACAAATTAAAGAATTGGTGGGCGTGGGGGGAGGGAAATTGCTCTTTTTTTAATTTAAGGCCGTTTTATACTGTTGAGTCAGTAAAATGATGTATGAGAAAACACTGCCTGTTGGAATTGCCTTAAAGATAGAAATTTCATTTTCTGAGACTACGCTAGTGAAATTGGATCTGAGGGTTAGTAGCTTAGTGCAGTGTTACCGAATGGCTAGGACATTAGTAGAGACAAAGCTTTAAGGTAAAAGATGCTAAAAGTGGGGCTGAGGTCAAGTCAAGGAATTGACATTAAGTGCATTTAGTGCTCTTAAGTAATGACTCTAATTTATGTGTAAGATAGAATGTGAAGGATGGCTCATTTACACTAATTATGAAGATTGCAACCAGCATCTCTGCTTTCAGAACTGAATTGATTACAGATTGGCTTAATGGGTAGGAATCAGAAGTAAGAGTAAAGAGAGTGAGGATAGTGAACGTTTTATTTCATATTTGATCTCGTTGGCCCATTTCAGCTTCTTTTATGAAGATCAGCCCTAGTGGGCGTGGGTCTTAGGCCAATCAGTCCACTCTGTTGCCTTTGGGGAGGAATGTACATCACCCAGTGGATAACCTCATCTCTGAAAACTGTTGTTCTGATTGTCTGGCCTCGTGTTCATTATATACAATAATAACCTTTTCAGGGATGAAAATATTGGCTTTGATTATCTCTGTTTACTCACTTTTGTTTTTTACCTATTCCTTCAGCGAAATCACCCCAGAAGGGAGAAGGATCACTAAATTAGACCAGATTTTGCTAAATGGAAACAATATAACAATGGTAAGACAGCCAGGCTGTTGTGTGTGGGTGTTAGGCCATTTTGTTTTGCTGGGGAAGGGATTACGCAACTCAGTTGCTTGACCCAGTGCTCAGGGCCGTGGTGCCGTAGACGGGAAAGGGCTGCTCTGGTGGTCAGGGTTTGAAAGCTGAGCTATTGACGATGACATTGGGCCTCAAGATAAGTTTGCTTGTGCTCGTTGATCTTACTTTCCTGAGTATTTCCTGATGGTGGTGGCATCGAGAGGGTGTCATGGAGAAGAGGCAGGGGCGGAGAGGCCGAAGCAGCTTTGGTCCCCGAGGAGCTCTCGGTGGGTGTTTTCAGATGCTGTCGTGGCGGTGGTGCTATTAAACTGTTTTCTCTTTGCAGCTGGTTCCTGGAGGGGAAGGACCTGAAGTATGAATGGATTCCTTGACTGATGCTAGATTCTATGTCGTCTCAGAATGGCAACAAAATAGAAGTTTTTTTTTAAGCCTTTCAGTGTCTGGAGTCTGTGAAGCTAAGTTTCCCGTTAAAGGGGAATGCTTTGAAGAGGCATTGTAAATGCCATTTTTGTAAGTTAATCATGTTTATCTTGGAAGAAAAAAAGAACAACTTGTTCTCTGAAGACTACAATAAAGGTGTTTTTGGTTGGTTGTTATTTTAATTATTGTGCCGCAATAGGCCTTGGCACAAAGCCTGTCCTTAAACGCTGTCCCTCGCTCTCCTTTGTTCCTTGTTCGAACGGCCACCACTTGGTTCTCAAAAACTGTTCCAAACAAAATGATGGACTTTGATTTTTGAGCAGATGCATTAAAAAAAATGAAATTATTCAATTCAATTCAAACTAATGCTTTGAAGTTAAGGTTTTTCTACTGAACTCAAGTTCCATTAACTCCTGTTAAAAACAAGCAAAAATACGCAGGTAATACATGCACATTGTGGAAATGCAGCTAAACTAAAAGGAAAACTTTCGTCAGGCTTTGCTGTCCATCTTCTTGGACTTGCTCAGCACACATTTTATACTTACAAAAGCGTTCTGACCCTGATGACACTGTTTTGTAGCCTCCATTTAAGACTTTTTAAAAATTTAAATGGGGAGCATCTTTCCGTGTCATATTTCAGCAATGTTAATGTGTGCACAGTGTTTCATTAAATGGGTTTACCATGATTTATGGTGCCTGTTCTTACTATTGGCCACAGTGCTCTAGCTAAACCTTTATACAGTTTTATGTTTCTCTAAAGAAACTCAGAAATGTGTAGGGTCAAAGGGCGCATATCATCGTGTCGCCAGCAGCCAGCTTGTGGGCAGTTTCCCACGGTGCCTGGTACACGCTCCGCACTATTGGCTGTGTTCGCTCCTGTCTCTGACATCGCGAGAAGCAAAACCTGTGTGTTTGACATTTTCTTTATTTATTTTGTATTTTGTGAATTACTGCCGTGAGACTTTTGCCGTTGAGATGCTTGTCTGGTTTCTTACTAATTTGTAACAGTTCTCAGTCGTCTATTTGCAGGTTAAATTCCCCAGTTTGTAATAGACTGCCTGTTAGTGGTACATTTTTTGACACAAATAAAAAGATATTTTTCTGTAGTCATGTTGGTCTCATCCTTTATGGTATTTGACTATGGCACATATGGATTAGAAGGGACTTCTCTGGGCTAATACTGTGTTTTTTGGTACTTTATATTTTCTTGGTTTCATTGAAGTCTTGACCCCATCTTCAGTTATTAGTGTTTCCACCTGAAAGAAGGACCCAACTGTATTTTCTAAAAGCACTGACTCGTATGTTCTGGTTTTCACGGTGTAACCCCTCCCACCACGGCTGATGTCCGGTGGCCTGGGCTTTGACGCCCAGCTTGCAACCTTCCCACGGGCCTTGCAGCTGGTTCTTGGGAGCCGCTGGTCCCGAGCCTTCCTGGGGGAACGCTTTCCTGCCTGCGGTGCCTTTCCTTTCGGAGGGGGGTGAAAGGGTGTCGTGCCATCCTCTCACTGCCCTCTCACTCTCTGTCCTACACTGTGGTCACACTCAGCTGCTACTGTCTTCCTCCTAGGAGTCCGTTGCCTGTGGGCAGCATGTGCTCAGAGTCTCAGAGGAGCCTCACCTCGCAGGGAGGCCTGTGCTCATCCAGTGTGTGGCCAGGTGGCAGAGTTGAATTCTGGGTTTGGTAATAGGAAGTTCCCTTGACTACAGATAAACTGCATCTTTTAACCTGGTCCTTTTTGAAGATTTTTTTTTTTCTTTACTTTTAGAGAGGGGAAGAGAGGGAGAGAGAGGGAGAGAGAGATCAATGTGTGGTTGCCTCTTGAGCGCCCCCTGCTGGGGACCTGGCCTACAACCTAGACACGTGCCCTGACTGGGAACTGAACTGGTGATCCTTTGGTTCCCAGTCCGGCGCTCAGTCTGCTGAGCTGCATCAGCCAGGGCTTAACCTAATCTTTAACAGTAAAAAAGATGAGGGTGTGATTCTCCCATCTGCTTACACTTTGGTCTTATATCGAAATTCATTTAAAGTTGGTACTATTCTAAATAAGGGTTTCTTAACCTTGCCACAATTGACACTTGGGTCTGGATAATTCCAAGTCGTGTGAGTGTTGCAGGGTGTTTGGCAGGGTCCCTGGCTCCCACCCACAGGTGCCAGCAGCATCCTGCCTGTCTTCCCTGCCTGCTCTCGTTGGTTGGTATTGGAGAGTGACTTCGTGGCAGACTGTTCTGGTTCTCCACAGTTTTAACGGTGACACCCAGTGGGCGAAAAGAGCAAAAAGAACGGGCCCCTAAGGGAGGCAGGCTTCTCTCCGCTCCTGGTGGTGTTTTTCTCGAGGAGGGGGATTGAGCAGTGTCGTAATGCACCGGGCCTCTCCCCGGTCCCTTTGTCCGCTCTGCCCAGGACACACGGAGTGACCTACCACCCGATGTGAGACAGGAGGAGGGGAGGTGGGCGGTTTGCCTCGACTCCTTTTTCCTCTTGGGCTTGAGTTGCCTTCAGGGAGCATGTGTCGTGCCCTGCTTTTGGCTGTAACTTTTAGGGGATTCTGCATGAAGACAGGAAGAAGTCTGGGGTGGTCCATCACGCCTGTGGTTTTGTGGGTTCATCAGAATTATCTGGGAGTTACATACTAAGGAGTTAACTACAGCCCACAGATATAAGCTACATCATCTAGCGTCTGTTAGTAATAAAACTGATACGTAAAACATGTTTTGCACCCTGCTACCATTTAGCCTTTCTTCTCAGTTGGTTCAGAACCCAGTCGTGGAAGAGGGGTGCTGGTTCTTGGTCCCCTCCAAGACTCCCATAGCCCTCAAGTCTGATACAACAACCCCCTTTCTCCCCCAGGCTGCCCCCCTCACCCCGCATGACTCTCCTGCAAAGCAGTGAGCATGTGAGTGGTTTCTCTGAAATGCGGAACATGGTCACATGGCACTTGGGCTTTCGGACCCCCCAGTAACTCACCCTCTGCGCAACAAGTGCCCAAGTTCCTGAGCAGGAGACCATGAGGGATGCCTGTTGACCTTGTTGGCCATGTCTAGATCTTGCCGTAGTGACACAGAACTTGCAATGCTGGCTGTTTCCTCCTTGGGTTTTTGGCTTACGTTGAGCCTCTGTGGGGGAATGCCTTTGACTTTAAACTTTATTCGGATGACTTCTCAAGTGTCACTTCCTCCAGGAAGTCCTACAAGACCCCCTCACCCTCCTACCACTCCTCAGTGCTTATACGTGACAGGTCATGGAGACCTCAAAGTGACTCTGTGTTGTACAGTCCTGAACAGCGACCTGCAGCTGTGCACGCCAGGCAAAGTCCTGGTTTCCAGGGAAACAAGTCCTGTTACACTGATAGACCAGGAACTGTAGAGTCTGGGTCACTGCTAGCACCTAACACCACCGGCACCTGAATATCTTAAAACATTCTATAACATGATAGTAAAGATATGCGAGGATCTTGTTGAGCTTTGGTGAAACACGCATTTTTAAATTATTATCAATGAATTAGTGATTTAATCAGTTCAAGCGTAGAAATGAGTGCAGAAGGAGACACAAGTGTGGACCAGCGGTGAAGACTGGTGGTGAGTGAGTCGTGGACGATGAAGATACTTGTTGGAAACTGAAATCCCGTGTGGGACGTTATTAGTCTCATTCCTCTATTGAAACTTCCTACAGAGAGGTGTTAGGAATCAACAGAGATCATAGTCTCCTATTGATTTCGTAGATGTGGATTTGTTATTAGTGGAATAACGATCAAACCGTTCAGTATAAATAAATGTACAAGGAACATCGAGGCATCATCCACTGGGACCGTGTGTGCAGTGATGCACAGCAAGCACCACAACCCTCCTGCCCAGTACGAAGTGAGTGAGTGGACACAGGGTTCACCTCTTTGACACGGGTCGTAAAGGTTCTGCTAAGGAGTTTTATTGTTCTGGGTCAGCCTCAAGATGGAGTTTGTTCTTTGTTCGGATAATAATTACATATACTAAGAAAAACCCCCTAAAATACTGAATCGATGAAACGATTAGGTGATGACCTGAACATCTTAGGAGTCTGGTGGACCGGCCCTCAGGGCAGGGACGGCTGGGCTCTGGCTGCCGGCAGGCAGGGCCGGTCAGAGGCAGAGCCCCGGGGAGCGCCAGCAGCGTTAATAGACGTCTCCCATCCAAGTTCTAACCAGGCCCAGCCCTGCTTAGCTTCCGAGATCAGACGAGATGGGGCGCGTTCACGGTGGTGTGGTGGCAGACCCACTCACAGACCTAAGTGGGGTGGCCAGCACATGACCTCAGCGCAGCCTGGTCCCCAAATCCGTGCTCTGTGTGCTCCCCGTGTGAAGAGTGTGAGGTCAGCCGGCACGAGGCTGGAGCAGAGAATGACTGGAAAACAGACTCAGTCTCCTTTAGCCAAGGCTGACCCTAGCGGAATCTTTGGTTATTAGACATTTTGTTCTTGAATTTGATAAGAAAAAGTGTGTATGACATCAGCTGGCCACCAGAGGGCACTGTGGAACAGGCAGCTAGTTGCTGAAGCCAAGGCTTCCAGCAAAGTTCTGGACTTCGAGAGGATGGGGACCGCTCTCCACCAGAGAGCTGGACCGGAGCAATCTGAGGCTCCTCACCGCCTTCCCCATTTTTGAAATGTGCGAGCTGCCCACCACAGGAGCCCAGCAGGGACCGGTTCAAGGACCCGGCCTTGAGAGTACGGTGCTGTGCAGACCCTCTGGAGGGAAGATGTTTCCGAACCCAGGCCACGCCTCCACACAGACGTTTAAGATTCAGGCGGGCGGGTGCGGACCTACCTGTCTTGAGGCTGCCCCAGACCAGCCTCATCAGTTAGTTCTCTTGCTTATTCAGCTTGCCACCTGCTAACCCGGAGTACGCCGCCTCTTTCTCCAGCCTGCCCTTGCCCTGCATGCCTGGGGGCCCGTTTGAGACTTCACCCAGCAAGCCCTGAGCTTTCATTTGTTGGCTTCCAGCCAACAAACCTCAGTGCTGGAACTCAAGTTGTACTGACTGTCAGATCACACCACCGGGGCAGGTAAAGGGTCGACTGTCTGTTGTTTTACACCGCTTTTGGAAAAGGGAATCCTTTTCGTATTTTCTGTTGTAAAAAGGATTGTGTAAGTATAGTGTGGATGAAAACATGGGCCCTAGAATCAGACTTGCAGGGACTCTAACCCCAGTTAGTCATTTATTATGAGTGTAGGTGCTAATTCTCCCACTTGAACATGGGGAGAGAGAGCCACCTCCCAGGATTGTGAAGCTGAACAAAGATGTCGCACAGAAAGTATCCAGTGTGGTTTCAGGCATAGTCCGTGCTCAATAAGTAAATGGCGGAAATCATCACTGTTATTTACAGAGCCTCCAGATCAGCTTGTTTTCATGGTTCTCCCACGACAGCAATTCCATTGAAACAGTTCAAGCGGCCTGTCTGTCACTTAGTCCCTAACATACCCGCCCCCCCCCTCCAGGAATTGAGCCTCTCATCATCTTTGGATCTTCCACCACAGGGGCTCAAATGATATTTGTGAATTAAGTGGTGACAACGGAGTAGGAAGTTATCTTTTGTCCCATAATTGCTGCCCTTGGGAGATGGGCCCCATTAACACTTCCTCATAGCAACCCTGTTATTTGTCATCGGTTCCAGCCACCCTCAAGGTTATTGTCTCCTTTGGGGAGTAGGAGATGGGAAGGACCTCCTTCTTCCCTTTACTGAATCACCTGCAGAGCGCCTCGTGGTGGTTGCAGCTGGAAGTGGGACATTTAATCAGTGGAGAAAACTGAGTCAGGCTGGAGGCAGGCTGGAGGCAGCCTGCACCAGCAAGAGCGTGAGAAAGGCTGGGGAAGCAATGACGGGCTCCGTGGGGCGGCTGGGCCCAGGTGTCCCCCCAGAGCCCCACTGGACGGGTGTTCATGTCACCACAGGTGGGGGTTGCAGAAGCTTGAGGAGCGGCAGCCCCCACCAAGCCTGCTTGGGCCTCGGTTTCTTCCACTCCACCTGACATTTACTTGAGAAGACATGATGAGCTCCCTCGAGGCGAGGATCTCATTCAGTGAAGCCTGGGCTCCCGCTGGCCCCGTGACAGGTGCCTGAGGGTGTCACAGGCTT